CACATCTAAGAATTCTTTACCAAATGCATTGTGAAAATTTATTCTTGTTTTCTCCTACAAGTTTTATAGAATTTAATGTTACATTAAGGTCTGATCCATATGGTGGGAGGTCGGCATCTGATCTCTCTCTTTTTTTTTTTTTTTTTTGAGACAGGGTCTCACTATGTAGTTGAGACTGACCTGGAACTCACTATGTAGCCCAGGCTGGTCTTGAACTCAAAGCGATCCTCCTGCCTCAGCCTCCTGAGTGTTGGGATTATAGGCATGCACCATCACGCCCAGCCCCATTTCTTTATTTTCCTTATAATACTCAATTGTTCTAGCAGAGTTTATTGAATAGACTATTATTCCTCCATTTAATAATATGGCACTTTGATGAAAATCAGTTGGCCATAGGCATGAATTTATTTCTATACTATTAATTCTGTCCAGTTGATTTATATGTTTACCTTCTCACTAGTAATACACTGTCTTAATTACTATTACATAGTGTTAAGTTTTTGTTGTTGTTGTTGTTTTTGTACCACGATCGAACTCAGGACCTGGCACTTGCAAGGCAGGCATGGTGCGCTGAGCTAAATCCCTGGCCCACATAGTGTTAAGCCTTAAAATTGAAAGATGTGTTTTCCTAGTTGAGTCTTCTATTTCAGGATTGCTTTAGCTATTTGTTTATTTGTTGGTTGGTTGGTTGGTTTAAAACAGAGTCTCACTTTGTAATTCAGGCTGGCCTTGAACTCACTATGTAGCCCAGGGTAGCCTCAAATTTGCAGTGATTCTCCTGCCTCAGCATTCCAAGTGCTAGTATTATAGGCATATACCTCCACACCCAGCTCTATTATCTATTCTGTGTACCTTTCAAGTCCAAAAGAATTTTTAAATAAATATTATCAGTTTTATGAATATGTCAAGTAGCCTGAAAAAGATTTTGTTGGATCTGCACATAAGAACAGGAATATTGTCATTTAAAAATGTAAAATCTTCTGACAAATGAACATAGAATTTTAAACAACTATTTGGAGTTTCTTTAATTTTTGTGGTCTGAGTAAAAATTGTAAATTTCATTTGTTAAATTTGTTGTCATTTATTTTTTATATTACTCTAAATTGTTTTCTAAATTTTATTTTAGATTGTTTATTCCATGTACATAGGAATACATTTGGTTTTTGTAAATCAATCTTGTGTCCCACAACCTTGCTGAATTCTTTTGTTAATTACACTAACATTATAGTGGAATCTTTCGTATTTTTCTATACCTAAAGTCATGTGGTCTGTGAAAAGTAATTATTTTTGCCATTTATTTCTTTCTCTTGCCTAACTGCCATAGCCATATTATCAATGTATTGTTAAATGGAAGATGCAAAAATAAATGTATTTGTCTTCTGTCCATTCTTAGGGAAAAAGCAAGAAGGCTTTCACAGTTAAGTATGATATTAGCCGTGGATTTTTCATAGATGTCCTTTATCAGATTTAGAAAGTTTTGTTCTATTTTTTGTTTGTTGAATGCTTTTGTAAAGTGTTGTTGGAGTTTGTCAGGTTTTCTGATCTAGAGACAGTCATGTGATTTTTGTTTTTTATTCTGTTCACTTGATGTATTACATTGGTTGTTTTAAAACAAGCTTGTTTAAATTGTTTGTTAAATTAACCTTACTTTCCTAAGATGAGTCTCACTTTGTCACGGTAAGTTTGTAGGTTGCTCAATTCTGTTTGCTAGTATGTTTTTGAAGATTTTGTATCCATGTCCTAGAGACATTGGTCTGCTTTATCCGTGACATCTTTGGTGTTGTATCAGGGTAATACTAGCCTTGGGAAAGAGTTGTTAAGTTTTCTTCCTCCTATATTTTTTGGAAGACTTTGTGAAACTTGGTGTTGATTCATTGTTGGCCTTTTGGTAAGACTCAGCAAAGACTTTTGTGGATAAGTTTGTAGTGATGGAATCATTTTTATAAGTCTTATTTATATTGTCTATTTCTTTTTAAGTCAGTTTTCATTTTTTGTGTCTTTCTAGGAATTCAACAATTTTGTGTAAGTTATCTAAGTTATTGACAAAATTATTTATAGTATTTGAATTAGCTCATTTTTCAGATGCCATAACAAAACACCCAATACTAGGTTCTTGATACAGAAAAGAGGTTTATTTAACTCATAGTTTTAGAGACTGAAAGTTCAACATCAAGCAGCCTTATTGTTTCAGCTTCCGTCGAGGGCACCCTTAGCTGAATCACAACGTGGCTGATGGCATCATAGTGGGAGGTTTTGGGTTTTTTTTTTTTAATTGAATTTATTGGTACATTCTAGGTAGACAGTACAGTTACATTCATTACTGGGATTTTGTGGCTTTACATGCCAGGTCTTGGTTCTCATTTTTTCCCCTTGTCCCCACCCTCCCTTCACGCCCTCCTCCCCTCCCCACCTTCAAACACTTTAATTCCATTTTTACATTTTTCTCATATTTTTTTCCTTTTCCCTTATTCCCCTTTCCCTATCCTTCTCACTGTCCCTACTTGTTTTTTTGTTTTGTTTTGTTTTGAGACAGGGTCTCACTATGTAGTTGAGACTGACCTGGAACTCACTATGTAGCCCAGGCTGGTATCAAACTCACAGTGTTTCTCCCGCCTCAGCCTCCTGAGTGCTGGGATTACAGGCATGCACCACACCCAGCTTCCACTAGTTATTAACATCCCCAAATTGTAGAACAAGCTTCCAATGCATTAATCTTGTGGAGATACACTCAAACCTTATCCAAGCCATAATAGTATTCCCTTATGATCCTTTTTTTTGCCTGGAAGATGTTACTAGTGTCCTCTCTTTGGTTTCTGAATCTAGTAATTTGAGCCTTATCTCTGTTTTTCATACTCTAGCTAAATGTTTGCTAATCTTTTCAAAGAACAATTTTTGATTTTCTGAGGCATATTTCTTTTATTTTTTTTAAATTTCTATTGTAATTTTTAACTGATTATTTGTTTATATAAGACTCTCTTAGAAGTAGGTCCTGGGGAGTCTGTCTTGAAGGTACATCCTTCTACATGCCATGTTTTGAAGTGGTTGAAATTTGAAATAATTTTCCACCTGAGGTTTCACAGACCACAGCAGTACAAGTGCCAATGCTCCCTGTGGTTACCTTTGGAATTATAAATTCTTTTTTTCATTCATTAATCTTACTGGTACATTTTAGGTATATAATATGCTGACAGTCATTATTGGGAATTGTACCTTTACATAATATATCTTGATTCTTATTTTTTCCTCATTCCTCCTTTCAACTCCTCCACCCCTCCCAATTTACAAAGACTTTGTTTCCATTTTTTCTGGGATTTACCTTAATGGCATTACACCTGTCTCACAAGCTCAAGGTCCTGAGTTCGACCCCTGGTACAAAAAAAAAAAAATAAGTACGAGGGTAAGGGAAAATGGGAAGGGTGGGAGAAGGGAAAGAAGGGAAAGGAATAAATATGAGAAAAGTATTATTTATTTTCTGTAGTATTTTTCTTGTCTCTGTGGTATTACTTTCCCTGTAGTCATTATAATTTATTTTTTGTTTCTTTAGATTTATTTTTCTGTTTTCCATACCTGTTAGGTTATAGATCTTTCTTCTCCTCTTCCACTTTATCCTTCTCTCCCTCCTCCTTTCCTTCCCTTCTTTCTCCTCCTCTTTATTCCTTCTTTCTCCCTTTCCTTCTCTTCTTCTTTCTCCTCTTCTTTCTTTTCCTCTTCTTCTTCCTCTCCCTCCTTCTCATCCTTCTCTTCCTCTTTCTCCTCACCTTTCTCTTTCTTTTTGGTTTTTGAGACAGGATCTTGTTACATAGTCCAGGCTGGTCTTGAAACTGCTGTGAAGCCCAGACTGGTCTTGAACTTGCAGTCCTCCTTCCTTGGCCTCCACACTGCTGAGATTACACCAGCATGCACCACCATGACTGGCTTTCCTCTTTCTATAAATGTCTCTCCAGGGTTACTTTAGTTGCATCCTACATGTTTTGGTATACTGTATAATTTTTACTTATCTCAAGATGTTTTGTGATTTCACTTTTGAGATAAGCATCATTGACCCACTTATTATTTCATTGCTAATTGCTTAATTTTCACATATTTGTGAGTTTTCCAACTTTTTCCAGTTGCTGATTTGTAATTTAACTCCACTGTGGTATGGGTATATATTTCATATTGTTTTGGCCTTTAAATTAATTGAGATTTGTTTTATGACTTAGCATCTTCATCCTGGAAATGTCTAGCATTTTTACTCTTATGTATTTATTTGTGGATATCTTTGTATTTATCCTGCTTGCTTGGAGATTGCCAGGATTTCTGAAGTGTTAATTCTTGTTTTTCAATATATTTGGGGTTGAAAAATCATCACTTCTTTGAATATTTTTTCCATCTTTTTCTTTCTAATCATTTTCAGGGCTTTAAATAGTTTATTTTAAAAAAGCTTTTTACTAGTCTCCCTGAGAAGTGAGCCAACCTTGTTCCTCACATACTGTAAGACAATTTATTTATTTATTTGTTTGTTTGTTTGTTTATTTATTTTTGAGACAGGGTCTCACTATGTAGTTGAGATTAACCTAGAACTCACTATGTAGTCCAGGTTGGTCTTGAACTCACAGCGATCCTCCTGCCTCAGACTCCCGAGTGCTGGGATTACAGGCATGTGCCACCACACCTGGCATACCATAAGACAATTTAAAAATTCATTCTTGTTAAGTGAGAATACCTTACTGGCCTGTGAATGGACACAGAGGGTGTACATTTTTACAGTAGAAAGGTAGTAGTAAAAGTAAGATCTACATTGTCTAAAGTATGTCACGCCAATTGGTATCTGCATAGGGGTTAGGAGCACTGTGTCCGTGACTAGGTCATCATACCAGATAGTTCAAGGCTTTAATCAAGCTTTTCCCAAAGTCTCAAACATTTATTGTGCCCAGTCAGATAAAACTGTTTCCTTTAGCTGACAGTTACTTGTGTATTCTAAGTTACTTATCTTTATTTGCACTGATTTTTTCCTTTAGGGTACTCCAAGGACATATATTTAACATGATTCAACAGTGGCTTTTGAACATAGGCAATGAAATTAACAACAGCCGCACAGAACTTCAGCGCCATGTATGTACTTTCAAGGCTTCATGAGGTTATATTTTTTGGTGAGGTTATATTTTTGCCTTAGTTGGTGGTTTTCAAGGTAAAACCAGGCCCTAATTGTCCAGTTGAAACAGGAGGTTGAGAGAGAAAAATAGAAACTTACATAATTATTCAGTGATTTTTCTCTGCATTCTAAAATGCAGACAGTTGTTGCCTCTGGTTTGTCTTTTTCCTTTACTAAGTATACTGAATATTTTTTCTCAATGACATTAATCTAGGATATGATTATTTTAAGTATTTATGTAAAATTATGTTTCTGCCATCTTTTAGCACCTGACTGAACATGTTAGGATGAAAGAGATGCCTACTACTGTACTACTGTACTACTGTTCTGTAATTACTAGAACAAATAAAAATTTTTCAGCAGTAATGGAGAGTGAACCTGTGAACTTCTTAACCAGTACATAAAAGAATAATAATAATAATAATAATAATAATTTCCAAAAAATGTCTTCATTTACTACATTTGCTAATATTCTTTAGAATCTAAATTTACATAGAAATGTTTTACAATAGTGAAAATATTTAATTTTACTAAATTTATAAAATGATTTAAATTCATTTTAATGTTGCTTAAATTGGGAATTTGAAAGGCAGAAATATGTTTTATGGGAATATTACTGGTAAAATATTGTTATTACAGTTTTATTTTTATATGTTAAAACTGAAGATACCAAGAATTGAGGAGCAAAATGTTAAATATGAAAGTATATCTCTAATGGATATTCAGGCTCGGGAGAAATCCTAATACTTGGGAGACAACCAAGATGAAAAAGCAAAAGGACAGTAGAGTGCCTGTCACATAGTGGGACTCAATAAATATTGGTTGAATGAAGTTAGGAAGATATTCTAACTGTGGATATCTTATGGTATTGCTATATTAAAGTTTTTTTTTTTTTTTTGCAAAATACTGAGTTTACCTTTAGAGATTGATCTTCAAGGACTTATATATTTATATTTTTTATGATTAGAGATTTCTCCAAGGACTTATATATTTATATTTTTTATGCTTAGAGCTCAATTTTTATAATATAGGATACTTAGAATGACCTTATATACCTTTCATGCACTTCTGTTTTAACACTGCATTATTGTAGCATAATTAGTGTGTATAGAAAACTTGAAAGATTGAATTTCTTGAAGAGTTATATACATTGATAGTAACTGGTATAGGTATTTAGAAATGAAAAAGTTTGCCTTTTTTTTTTTTTTTTTTTTTTTTTTTTAGACAGGGTCTCCCTATGTAGTTGAGACTGACCTGGAACTCACTGTTTCCCAGGCTGATCTTGAACTCACAGCGATCCTCATGCATCAGCCTCCTATGGTGCTGGGATTACAAGCATGCGCCACCATACCCAGCTACCCTTATTTTTTTAAACCATCAGCCATTTTCTTTTCCAATCCATTTTTCTACCATGTTGCTTTTCCCTTGCCACCTTACTGCATTTAATCTGTGTTCCCTCACTATCTTAAATGGTGATCTCTAAGCCTTTTTTAAAAATCAGATATGTAGATATAAGTATAAATGTATATATAGATATATGTGGATATAAATATATAGAGATATACATAGATATATATATATAGGTACAGGTAGTGTGTGTTTGTTTGGTCCTGGATATTGAGCCCAAGGACCTTGTATATGCTAAGGAAGTTTTCTACCACCAGCCTCTAATCCCACTTTTCATGTATATTTTGAAGGAAAAAATTAAGTGTAATTTTTTTTAAAATAGCAGGTAAGAACTGGCTAAATATTGAAGTCACTTGTCCATCCCTGAAACAATTAGTAAAATTGGAACGAACTTCTAAAGGAAAAACACTTAATGATAACTCATGCCTTAAAGAGACACTTTAATTGAGGTTATAGATGTGTAGATTCATGTATATAGATGATTACAGTACTGTAGAAGTGTGGGGAAAAGGAACGAATTACAGCCAGTAGAAATTAAAGTCTTCTCAAGCAAATGATATTTAAATCCTAAAGGAATATTTAGAAATTCACTAAATAGAGAAAGAGTATGTTGCATCAGTGTCTGCATCTTATAAAGTCTTCTATATTATATTTCTGGACCCTAGCCTGAGCAAACACTGTAATGCAGAGGCTCTCAAAATGTTCACTGTACCTACTGGGTTTCAGTATTTTCATACTCCGAAGCCAAAAGAAATATCTCACAATTAAGTTTATTAAGTAGGTAGGTTCCAAAACCTTACTAAATACTTGATGTCCTAACAAGTAATCCGAATTCTAATGGAATGCATATGCTTGTTGGGCACTATCTAACTTCTCTAATCTTGGAATCAGATTAGACATTGCTATCTTTCCTGTTCCAAATGGATTTTCACATAGTATTTGTTTTTATCCAACCAACCAAACAATCTTCAAAAAGATTCCATGGCATCAAAAGTGACACAGTGCATCTGATGTTGAAACTATGTTTTAAGTTCATGCTGTGTCCAGCAGATGCCACATCTCACTATTTTTGTCATTTTAAATACCATGGCATCCTTGTGAGTTCTCTTCAGAGTGCTAGAATGTTTTGGTTCATAGTTTGGGAACTGCAGCTATGATAAGTTCATACCCTTCACCACGCTAAAAAAGAGTAGCTTAAAGTAGGGTTGTAAGTAAAGAAAAATAAGGTTGTAAATATAAGCCTTGATTACTTGATTTTTTAAATTATAGGGTTGTTGAAAGTTTGACACAGGTATGATTGTTTCTACTTTTAAATCTGCTATTATCTCACTGATGTACTTTAAATGGGTTGTTTGTAACTATATTCATTTTTTAACAGATGGATGAGTTGCATATATCTATGACCCAGTGGTTGGTAAATTTGCTGATTATAATGATTCCTGACTTTACTGACCATCAAACTCTCCCAAAGATGGAAGAGGAAGGTGCTGAGAGCCATGATGTGGGAATTGCACAGTTAGAACTAGACGCGGTTGTACTGGCGAAAAAGTTGTCCCAAGACACCACCTATTTGAGCAGGTGAGACTCTCTGGTTATTGTCTTGCTGGACATTTGAAGATTAAATGTAACATAAGGCAAAGGAAGGACAGTGAAGTAGGAGCAAAAAAAGGGGTTATTTTAAAACCTTGAAAGAAACAGTAGTTCAGTTTTTCAGCTAGCTTTGACATTGGGGTCAGTGGGAATATGAAATTTTAATGTTCTCCCAGGAGCTTTAGAGTTCTTTTGGAAACTGTAGCATAGGAAGGATGGGAAATCTGTGTATGTAGGATAACAATTAGTTTCTTTTTGTAAGACCAACTTAACTTCATAAGTAAGATACATCTTGTGTCTTTGCACCTATTGGGAGGTACTTAAGAAACTTGTAATTTCCTGTATAATTTCATGCAAAGCTGAATGTATACTTGTCTGTGCCCCACTAAATGCCAACCAATATATCTTTTTTGAAAAAGAAAAAAAATCTGAAAAGTTAGAAGATTCATAGCAAATATTAATGAGGCCAGAAAAAAATGTTACATATTAGTTAAGATACAAATTATCACTATAGTTACTTTGAATTTGGGCAAGTAGCTTTTTACAATCTAGCCAAATTTTTCTTTTATTTTTTTCAATTCGGTTTTACCAGTGATCAAGGGTAAAAGGAATGGAGGAGGAAGAGGACAAGAGTGAGAAATTCAGAGAGGGACAAATTATTCTTCATGGTGAATCAGTAGCTGAATTATTATAGTAAATTCCTCTGTATCTGTGCGATAGCCTGCGTGGCTGAAGGGTCCACAGAGGGAGAATGGTGGGAGATGAAGAAAAGACAGATACAAAAATCTGAGGCCAGGAGGAGCCTTCCTCCTCATGGGAGAAAAGGTCTGCACGGAAAGTGCAGTGTGTTTATTTATAGTGATAGTGCTAAGGGAAGTGCAGGGGGAGGTAAAAGGCTCCAGTGTGCAACTGGAACCAGGAGAGTAGCTGAAGTTCACAGAACGTCACGCTTTGACGGTTTTATGGGGAGTGGACAGGGAGAAAGGCACGGGAACAGCACAGTGCTCCCAGCATCTCCCCCTGTTCTTTTATAGCTGCAGCTTGTGATGTTGTCTCAATGCAAGCTTGGTAAGTTGTCCTAGGATGACTGCAGAGAACTAGAAAACAAATCATTCGTAGCAGTAGGAAAATCAGCATTCCCAGGATCATAGCAATGCTATGTTCGGCCAGGCTGAAAGGACTGAATCCATTTAATGAATCAAGAACTGATTTTGTCACATCTTCAGGGGTGAGGAAACTAGCACGCTGAATGGACATGATCTGTTGATGAGGCTTTTGGAGATCAAAGCTGAGATTTATGTGGTGAAAGATACCCATTACATGCATGGTAACCTCTTTCCCGTCCCACTGTGACTCATTGCAAGGAAGAACGGTAACAAATGTGAAGGTATTCAGCCTGGCACTGCAATCCTTGACAGTACTGTAGGGCTTCAACTTGATTACCAATCTCTAGCACTGCAGCTTCTAAGGCATTAACCTGTGCTTCCAATCTAATGTCAACATCTTCCTGGTCTCAAGGGCGTAAAAGGTATTTTTTTGCTAAATGATTGACAAACTTCATTCTGTACAATTTGTGCTAAGGCCACAGATACAGCCACAGCAGTGGCAAGCAGAGTCCCTGGAGATGTAAGTCCCAGGATGATATACTGAGTCCTACCATCGACAGGGGTGAATGAGCTGTCCGTGTATCTCTTCCAGTACTTGCAATCCATGGTCATTATAGCAAGGGCCAGGAACATTAGCAGGTATCATGACAAAAGATGACCTATATAATATTAGCACATCTTTATCCTTATTATTTTTTTGTTTTGTTTTTCCATTAAATTTATTGGTACATTTTAGGTCCTTATCCTTATTAATGTTAGTAAGGCAGGCAGTGAGATTACAATTTTGGCAACTGACATTAAAAAACTCTCCTGAAGTAATAATATTGACCTGGCCAACTAGAAACACATAAGCGTTTTGAACACAAGTGTGTGCCCAAATCTTACTGGCCCCTGTGTGACTTCTGTCCTTTATGCTATGACTAGAAAGAGTGGTCACTTGTAAACTGGCAGCCAATCGCTAAAGATCTCTTTGGAAGTTTTTTTGTTTTGTTTTGTTTTGTTTGGTACCGGGGTTCGAACTTGGGACCTTGCCCTTGCAAGGCAGGTGGCAGGACCACTGAGCTAAATCCCTGGCCCTCTTTGGAAGTGTTTTGATGATATATGTAGTACTGATGATGGAAGGTGGCCGATAGTATTGTACTTTGTATGGGGCCAATCCTGGAAAGTTATATTTTGTATAGTCATTTCATTTACTTCATGAGTGCAACAGTCTTCCCAAAAAGCATACTTTGAGGAAAATAATGAGTGATATTGTGGCAAGAGGAGAAAGGGCATAAAAGGTTTTGAGTATTATATGTTGAGGTAAGATTGAAACTATTAATTAGCACTAACTCACCTCCATCAGTGCCTGATACATTATGTACAATGGCTGCCTTTTCAATTACTTGAAGTGAGAGACAAAGGGAAGATGGGATGAGACAGAGAGGGAAGCCCACTGCTCTCCTGGTGTAATTATAGGTGGTAGATATAGGAGAGATATGAGCATCAGAATGGCCCCCTGAGACATCAGACTGATTGGTAAAAATACCAAAGTAAGAGTTTCCCAAGGACGGGGATGAGCTGAAGGTGGGTCTGAATTTGTCTTCTGTTAGAACACAAGCATACTATAGCCCCTGTGTTATTAATTGCAGTGAGCCATTTTACCTTTTAGTTATGACATCCTTTGACAACATTTTTGTCTAGGACATGCCTGTATATTTAGTATCAATGTAGTTTTGATGAAGAATATTTACTTTCCATAAGTGGATTTTAAAAATTTTTAAATGAAGGCAACAAGAGAAAGTGACAAAATCTAATTGAACTTGAAGATGTAGCTATACGGTTATCCTCAACTCTGGTTAGGGGAGAAGGGAAGCAGTTTTCATCTAACTGCTTTGAGCTGAGAATGGTTGATGTAGGGAAGACTGCAGTTAGGGACCCCTTCTGGGAGCTAATTTCACAGGCCGGAAATAAAAATAATGTGGTAATTTAGTAGTTATAAATTATCTTTATAAGTTTGAGCTAGTGGATTTTGATTAAAAAAATGTTTAGCACATTTGTTGTTGATACTGTCTGTATGATCACTTTGAGTTTGACAGCCTATGGGCAAGAATAAACAAAAATTTGGAAGAAAGTTAAGCATGTATAGTCAAAGGAGAAGCACTAAAATAAAAAGGTGGTTTTGGGAAAGAGCTATGTTTAGAAACTGTTTTTAGGGAACTAAAATAGTGAATATAATTTGTCAACTTGTAGACCTTTCACTAATAGAGATTTTTTCCCATTGGGAATTGGGATTTTCCCATTGGGATTTGGCACATTGCAGTTGTTTCTTTGGTGTCCAATGATCTCCCTGCTCAGGAAGATGAGTGATTTACCAAAAATATAGGATCTTATAGAAAATGTTTCTTCATGTCCTGGATCTTTGTTGACTGTCTTCTTAGCCCACTTACCTTTCTAGTGCTGGTTTCTAGACTTTAGTGGTTGAATACCCAGATGAGAAAATCAATAACATTAGCACTACAATAGAAGCAATGAACTTAACTATTATAATTTTACTTGGATATCAAGCATTTTGGAATCTAAAATATAGTTAGAGGACTGTTATTTTTATCAACCATGATTAGTCTAATAGTTGAATTCCTGTAAAGTATTAACAGCAAAAACTTTAAATCAGGAGCCACACATAATACTCTAGCATGACAATCATTATGACAATGTCTTTGTAACACACTTAGGTGTATATCTTAGTATAAAATAGCCATTGTTAATTAAATGCACTTACTCCCCTCCAAAAACACATAAAAAAGGAAACTCTTACTTAAGTTATTATCTTTTGATAGGAGGGCATCTAAGGAAATGTATGGGCCTATAAATGTACTTGTTTTCATAAGTAGCTGTAGCAAAAGAGAAGGATGAATACCTGGATCAAAAGGTTATTACCATAAACAATATGTTGGAAGACCTGTACAGTCAGAAAACATGAATACATTTTGTACACCAGAAAAGTAGCAATCATAATTATTACAAGCATATGAAACCATATGTCCTACAATGTAGCTTGGTACCAAAAGCATTTTATTAATAACACCTTGTTTATTCCACTGAAAATTTTATGTTTTGGAGATGACAAATATAAACATATCACAATAACATATTTAGAATTTAAGCAATGCAAACATGTTATAATAACATATTTAAGCAATGTTTATTGGGGATTTGTCTTCCCATAAGTCTATGGAAATTATTGAGGCTCCCATTAATGAACAAAGACCAGAATAAATATTTTTTGGGCAGCTGCTTCTTTATTTACCAATGGGAGTCTCATTCAGGCATCTCCCCGAAACCTAAAAGTCTCCATTTAATTAGCTTGATGATTTCTTAAAATAACCTGTAAAAACCAGATTGTAACAATTATTTGTAACCAATAAAAATATTTTTGTTATTGAATGTAAATAACAACATGTATTACAATCAAAATTAATCTTTGACATCATTTTGATCAGCTAGCAACCTGGCAGGGGGAAGGCATGCTTTTAACTTTAATAACATTTATCTATAAGCCAATTTAAATTATAGGCAAATATCTTTTGAGAAAAAATTTTAAAGGAGAAAAATTGTTGAGCTTAAACAAAATAGATGTAAATTAGACAGACAAACAAACAAACATAACACAATTTATGAAACTAGAGTGCCCTCAAATATATTTGGCCAATTTAAATTATAACATCCTTTTATAATTTTTTTATTTATAATTGTAACCTAAGACTTGTCAAACTTTTGTAGGTCAATTAACAGAGATCTCTTTTAATTAGAATCAGAAGAATAAAAGTGTTTTATACCTGTAAGTGTAATCTTTTATAACAGTGTAGTAATAGAACAGTAGCATAATCATGTGTTATAGGTATTATCAGAAATCTGAAAACAGAAAATAAAGAAAAGCACAAGGTAATCCTAAAATTACAATTTAAGAATTTGCAATGTAGAGGAAATGTTTTAAATGCACCAATTAAACATCTGGAAACTAAACACCAATTAAACATTACTTTAAGTTGGAGATGAAAGGTACATTTGTCAGTTAGCCAAAATTTATAATCTGATTTTGTGTGTGTGTGTGTGTGTGTGTATTGCTTGTTTCCCCTGCCTGGCAGGACATTGCAGCTGATTTTAATATGGAGCAAGCAGACTGTTGCAGGCACTGGGCAGTAGCCTAGCATTTGGTCTTTAAGCTCTGATCTTAAGCATTACATTTTGTTTTAATTGTTTAAACCCTTACATTTCATTTTCCAACATTTGTGTAGAAAACGATAGAGCCTAATGGGATTTCTTATTAATATAGGCTGCCAAACATGTTGTTGATATGCAAATAGGCAGGGCCAGGGGAGAATCTTACATTCCTTTGAGGAATCTTGCTTTCCCCTCTTCAGGGGGAGCTGAGGCAGCTAGAGCAGGCAGAGCAGTGGGTGAAGGCATTTTTAAAGTCTCCCCTGCCTGTGGCCTCTCACAATGCAAGTTGTAGACACAAGAGGGGACAAGAAGCCTTTGCAAGGAATCAGGAAGTCTTTGCAAGGAATGAGGAAGCTGCGTCAACATGGCAGGTTGGAATTCCTTTGTTCTCATGAAGCTAAAGTACAAGCCTGCAGTGCAGAAAAAGTTGTGGGTTTAACTTTTGGCCTACAATGAAAGTGTTGCAGTACACTCCTCAAGGGTCCTGCCACCACCCTCCCCACTGAATATCTTCCCACCAGATTCATCTTAACAAGAGGCAGCAAGCTCCCCAGGTGGAGCAGGAGCCTCAGTAGGATCTGTTGGCTCTGGACTGAGCAAAGATTTATTCAAAGCCTCACAGCCCTGAATTGTCTCTTGTAATCTAAGAACACTGTGTTTTGCCAGATCTTCAAGGGTGGACTCCATGGAGACTCAATCATCAAAGCACTCACAGATTAGAGTCCATAAGCAAAAGGTGTATATAGGGATTTGTTTTTCTGGTCCCTCAGTTTTCGGATCACAAAACCAAAGACATGTCTCTCTTTCTCTATACCGCCCCACCCCAACCAGGGATCAAACTCAGGCTGTTGTGCTTGCCAGGCAGTTGCAGCACCACTAAGCTTCATCCCTGGACCCAAGGACACAATTCTTGAAAGAAACTCAAAACCTTTGCTAATTGGGAATCCTTACATCAGATCCTTTACCTTTCAAATGTACCACGAGATACAAATGTCTCTCATGCAATCCTGATTGCCCCATGTTTTACACCTGGTGAATTTCCAAACTACTTCATTCCTAACGTATGCATTTACACCCTGAGGCATCCTCTCACCAGAATATGCAACTTGTCTCATATTCCAGTCCTGTACTCTTGCCTCATGTCTTGCCTCATACTCTGGTCTGTCTGTGTGCCAGCTACTGTGGCCTGTGTGGATGAAGGATCCACGGAGGGAAGATGAAGGTGGGGGATGAAGAAAAGACAGATACAAAAGGCTGAGGCCAGATGGAGCCTGCCTCCTGATGGGAGAAAAGGTCTGCCTGGGAACTGCAGCGCATTTATTTATAGTGGTAGCAATAAGGGAATTGCAGGAGGAGGTAAAAGATGCCAGAACTGGGAGAGTAGCTGAAGTCCGCAGAACATCAGGCTTTGATGGTTTTATGGGGAAAGGATGGGGAGGAAGGTATAGCTACAGCACAGTGCTCCCAGGATATCTGAATTTTAAGCACTTAGAGAAACCAACAATAAACAGGTCAAACTAGATATCTTTGTGAACTTCTCAGTACTGTGGTTAAATATTGGAGATAGTTTACTTGTAAATGTAAAAGGACATTTTGGCTCACAATTTTGAAGGTTCCTGTCCGTGACTGAGTGGCCTGGTGTTTGGGGGCTTATGGTAAAGCAGCACATCATTACAAGGGTATATGTACCAAAACCAAACAAACAAGAGTGTATGATACAAAAAAACTACTCACTTCATGAGCCAGGAAGGAAAAGGGAAAGAGGAAGAGATTGGAGCCCCACAGTCCCCTTCCGAGGGCACAAAACCAGTGCCCTAAGGTCTTCCCATGAGGTTGAAGGTTTCCACCACCTCCCAATAGTGCTCTCTTAGGGACCAAACCTTTAACACAAAGGCCTTGTGGGACACTCATTCAAACCATACCACTGAGTATGTGCTTTATCCTTTTCTATCTTCCTTCCTTCCTTCCTCCCTTCTCCTTCTCTTTTTCCTTCTTCTCCTCCTTCTCCCTCTCCCCCACTTTCTACTTTTTTTTTTTTCTTTTCAGTTGTTGCAAAGGGATGGTAACAGCAATGGCTCTGAATAAAGCAGCTCATTCAGAAAAAAATCCTGCTAAGGAACTTCGGGAACTGGATAACATAAAGGTAGTACTTTTCCTTTCCAGTAGTTTTGTTTCAGAATATTTTTTGAGGTTTAATTGATTTAAAACAAACTGCACGGGAAATGTGCAATCTTAGAAGCACTAAAATATGCATATACTCATAAAAAGTTACTACATTAAAAGGGGAACATACGTATGTACAACACCTGAAGTTTGTACCTTTTAAAACATTCTCTGTCCTCTTAGCCTCATCTTGGCCCTGTGTAATATCTGATCCAGTTTCTAAAACTTCATTGTTTTTTTCATTTTCTAGAACTTATATAAATGAATTAATATATAGTCTATCTGTTTTAATCTGACTGTTTTAACTAGGAATTATTTTGAGATTCTTGCATATTGTTGCTTTTATCAAAAGTGTGATTTGCTAAGTAATATTTTGTGGTATGGGTGTACACTATCCTCTATTAATGATATTTGAATTGTTTCCAGTTTATTATTATAAGGAAGGCCTCTGTGCACATTTCTGAAAGGACATTTATTTCTATATTCCCTTAAGAGATGTGACTTTGAAACATAGAAAATTCTTAATTTTGAGGAAGTTCACTTTTTAATTATTACTGCATATTAATTATACAAAATACTATAGTGGGTTTTGTTTCAGTATATTTGTACATGCATATAATATGCTTGGACCATTTCAGTGATCCTATTACCATCTTGTCCTCCATCATTCCTTTCTTCTCTAACACTCTCCCTTTTGCTTTCGTGTTATCTGTCTCTTCTCCTTCACCTTCTTTTCTGCCACATATGCCATATTTGTCTGAGACTCACTTATTTCTCTTAACATTATGATCTCCACTTCCATATACTTTCCTGCAAATCACATGATTTCATTCGTTTTAAAGGTTAAGTAATATTCCATTGTGTGTTTTCTGTATTCATCTATTGCCAGGACCTTATGATGTTCCCATGTTAGCTATTATGAATTGTGCCACAAAATGTAGATGTGCAGGCACTTCTTTTATATGCTGACATCAATTCTGATCAGGAATATACTGATGAGTTGTACACCCGAATTAATTAGTAATTAATTAATTAAATAGTAGCTCTATTTATAGTTTTTTGAAGAATCTTTATACTGATTTTCATAGTGCCTGTACTAATTTATATTCCCATTAATAGTGTAGAAGTGTCCTTTTCCTGTGTATCTTTGTCTGCGGTTATTATTTTTTGTGTTCTTAATGATAAACATTCTGACTGAGGAGAGATAAAATCTCAATGTAGTTTTGAATACTTTTCCTTGATGGCTAAAGATGTTGAACATTTTTTTTCCCGTATACTTCTTTGAGATATGTCTCTTCAGTTTATTTGCCCACGTATTGATTGGGTTATTTGTTCTCCAGTGTTATGTTTCTTCCAGTTCTTTATATATTCTGAAATCTGTATCAGGACAGTAGCTAGCAAAGAATTTCTTTCATTCTGAAGGATATCTTTTCATTATGTTCATTGTTTTTCTTTTTTTGAGACAGGTTCTCACTATGTAGTCCAGGCTGGCCTTGAACTTACTGAGTTCCTCCTGCCTCAGCCTTCCAAGTGCTGGGATTGCAGACATGCACCTCCACACCCAGCTAGGTTCATTGTTTCCCTTGTCATGCACAGTCTTTTTAATTTGATGTGATTCCATTTACTGGTTCTTGTTATTTCCTGTGTGCATCACATCTTGAGGTTTTGTTTTGTTTTATTTTGTTTTACTTTGGCTTTGTAATATATATTGAGAGCAATATCTGTAGTATCTGCCATTTTTGCTCAGGATTACTTTGATTATTGTGGGTCTTTTGTGCTTCCATAGGAATTTTAGGGTTTTTTTTTTTTCTAGTTCTTTGAAGACTATTATTGGCATTTTGATGGGGATTTCATTGAATTTATTTTGGTAGCATGGTCACTTTAAGAATTTAAGTCTGCCAATTCATGAACATGGGAGGTCTTTCCATATTTTAGTGTCTTCTTCAATTTCTTCCTCCAGTGTTCTATAATTTTCATTATAGAGGGCTTTTACCTTCTTGGTTAGGTTCATTCCTAGATTTTTTTTTCTTGTGAAACTATTGTGAATATAATTGTTTTTCAAATTTCTTTCTCAGTGGGTTTATATTGGCCTATAGAAAAGCTATTGATATTTGTATGTTGACTTTGTGTACTACCACTCTTACATTTCTCAAATCTAAAAGTCTTCTGGTGAAGTTTTTGGTTTTTCTAAGTAAAAGATCATTTCATTTGTGAATAGGAATAATTTGACTTCTTCCTTTCCTGTTTGCATCCCTTTTCTTTCTTTCTCTTGTCTAACTATATTGAACAGATGGTGAGAGTGAATACCCTTATTTTCTTCCTGACTTTAGAGTAAATGCTTCCAGTTTTTACCTTTCAGCATGGTGTTAGCTGTGGTTTTATTTTATAGAACTTTTACTATATTGAGGCAATATACTACTTTACCTAGTTTCTTCAAGGTTTATATCATGAATGGATGTTGAATTTTGTCAAAGGCTTTCATGGGATCTGTTGAGATGATCATATAATTTTTTTATTCTTCTTCTATTTATGTGGTAGTCACTCTATTTCCAATCAATATAGTACTTAAAGTTTTAGCCAAAGCAATTAGGCAAGGGAAAAATAAAAGGGATCCAAATAGGAAAGGAAGAAGTAAAATTATCCTTATTCACGTATATTGATTTGTATATGTTGAACCATCCTTGCACCCCGGGAATGAAGCCAATTTAATGATAATGTGATCTTTTCTGTTTGCAATAATTTTATTGATGAATTCTATATCTTTCTTCATTAAGGATACTGGTCTTTCTTTTTTCTTTTCTTTCTTTTTTTGTGAGTTCTTATCTAGGTTTGGTATCAAGGCAATACTGGCTTTGTAGAATGAGTTTGAAAGCATTCTTTCACTTTGTACTTCAAGAAACAATTTGAAGAGCACTGATTTTCTTCTTTAAAGGTTGATAAAATTTGGCAAGCAATAAATTGATATGGTCCTAGACTTTTCTTTCTGGGGAGACTTTTCATTACTACTTCAGTCTCATTGCTTCTTATTGATCTGTTTAGATATTTTATCCTCTAGGTTCAAATTTGGTAGGCTGTATGGGTGAAGAAATCTATCCATTTCGTCTAGATTTTCCAAGTTATTGAAATATAAGTTTCAAAATAGCTTCTAGTGATCCTATGGATTTCAGTGATATTTGTATAATAGCCCCCACCTTTTCACTTTTTTCTTGTTATAGATTAACTATGGCAGATTTTACATGCACATGTGACCATTTTTACTACCCCATCACCTCCTTGCTCTTTTTTATCCCCTAGATTCACATTTTTGGGGGAATTTCAATTGTTATTATTTTTTTTATATTCATTGCCCTATTACCCACCCTTACAACTCTTTACTCTCCCTTATTTTCTTCCTCTTATCTAGGGCTGGGGATTCTACTTTCTTGTCATCTTTTAAGATTCCATATATTAGGGAGAACATAGAATATTTTCTGAGTCTGGATTATTTTATTTGGGGTGTACCCTCTATTAGAGTCCATAGCAATGTGGAAGAGACACTACTGTGAGGGACCCTTCCAAGGAGGACCATGGGCATCTAAGTTTCTTGGAGGATCTACACTCTCCACCAGTGTTACTCCCTGGTCCCCTGTTAAGCTCTTTCCACTTACTAACCCTTTGCTAGTGATTTCAGGTAAACAAATGAGGGAAACATTATCAGAGGAAGCTGAGAATCTGCTCTCACTCCAGAGATAAGGCTGTAACTTGTTCTATGAGTGGGCTTTTGTTTTTCTAAAGCAACACACGTGCCCCTTTCTTTAATCCTGCAGCTGAGACCTTTAGGACACACCAAACTAGTTTATTTAGGGGACTCAGCAGCGCCCCCACTTCTCTGGAAATGTCTTAGTACTCTTCCCCCCCCCCCGGTCCTTGAGCTTTTGAGGCAGTGGCCAGAACCACTGAGCTAAATTCCTGGCCCTTAGTACTCTTCATTGTTAAAGCTCCCTCTTCTCCTCCTCCCCTCCCCCTTTCTCTTCTCTTCTCCCCTCCCCCTCCTCTCACCTCTCCTCTTCTCCCCTCTCTTCTTAGTCTTCATCTTCTTCCCCTCCTTCTCCTCCTCGCTTTCTCCTCTTCCTTATCCCCCCTTTCCCTCCCCTCCCCCTCTTCTCCCCTCTGCTCTTTATGTGCTACGCAAGTGCTCTGCCACTGAGCTACGGCCCTAAGTCTTTTGTATTTATTTTCTGAGACAGGATCTCACTAAGTTTCCCAGGCTAGGATTGAACTTGCTATCCTCCTGACTCAGCCTCTCAACAGCTGGAATTACAAGTATGCACAACCATGCCTGGCCATTAAGGGTTATCTTAATTTTAAATTCATCAAGGTCACTGGGCATGGTGGTGCACGCCTGTAATTCCAGCACTTGGGAGGATGAGGCAGGAGGATTGATGTGAGTTCTAGACCAGCCTGGGCTACATAGTGAGTTCCAGGTCAGTCTCAACTACATAGTGAGAGCCTGTCTCAAAAAAAAAAAAAAAAAAAAAAAAAAAAAAAAATCATCACTGTCTTCCCCTGATCTCCTAGACAACCTCTATGGTATATGAATCTTTATTTTATCAGACTCTGGGAATCTTATGATGTTGAGATTTTTGAAGAAAAACCTGCTTGGCTCTGTGGAAAACTTATTTATCTCTATAAAGTTTATTATGGTTAAACTTTCATCAAAAGATTCCTAGTGATTTTTTTCCCTTTCAGAAATTCTGTGGAAGTATTTCCAATGTCTCAGAAATTTATAAGAAAATGAGCAGGATTTGTTTCATAGTATGCAGATTCAACTAGACAATGATGAATTAACTCTGAAGAAAAACACTTTATTAGGACAAAACATTTAACTCTTTGCAAATCCCACGGTTGTTCTGCATCAGGTTTTATGGCACTTCAACCCAGATCTCAAACCTCATCTAAGTTGAGTTAGTTCTACTTTCATTGTAAGTAACTTCTGCACAAAATTTTAAACTGAATGTCTGAAAGATCTCTTTAGGGCAGTGGTGGAATGGAGGCTTGTAATTGCTTAAAAAGAGCACCCCTTGCCAACATTGCATCCAGTGACATATTCAGAATTGATGGCTGTCACTGAAGTTATTGTAGTAGGAGCATTGGCATCAGCATATGCTACAAAGCAGGCTTTCTCTCTCTTTCCCTCAGAGTCACCAGCTCACAACTGCACTGGAGTCACCTAGAGTAAACCAACACTTGAGGCCTGCTAAATGTTGCTTCAAGAACTCACAACTAATTAGATGAAGTCAAGGGCTAAAATGCGATACTTCCATCTGCTTTGTCCGGTCCTCTTCCTGATATGCAATAAACCGTCACCCTAACCCTTTGAATTCAGAGTGTGTCGGTTGTATTAACAAAAGTATGGCAAAATCACTTTACTACCATAGGCTTCAGTTTATCAATAATCTAAGAGTTTAGGTTTGGCTTCTTAAATTTTTTTGGCTCTGAGATGATACCATTTAGGTCTCTGCCTACGATAGTTCAGAACAATTCTTTGAACTGAACTAACAGAAAGTTAACTGAAGGGAGATATATTTAGAGGGATAGTATTTAGCAGTTCGTCAATAGGAGGAAATTAAGAAATTAGTTGGTGTAATGTGATTTTTTTTGCTGCATAGAAAGTATCTTTTATCTTGTTTCAGAAAGAATGTTATGGATGGATCAACACCTGCTCTCACCTCCTTTCTGAGCTCAAAGACAAAAAAATCAACTTATTGACACATGAAGAAAAAGAGAAACTACTTGAAGAAGAGGTATTTACCATGTGTTAGCATCATTCCATATACAAGAAAATATGATCTGTAGTTATTCAAATTCTTCCTGTACTTTAGTAGATAAATTTAAACAACATTTTCCCATCTGTGTTCTGCATCTTTGCCATTTACTCTATCAGAAAAGAATTTTGGTTCTGAACAAGAGTACTTGCAACTTTTCCCTTCTTGAGAAGGGAACCGTCCACTCAAACATTTTTCTGCTCCCTTTGTTTGCAGATGATTTTGCACCCTACTTCATAAGGGAAAGAATGACTCTCAGGTGGGAGCTCCGTGCTCCTTTCTCAGACTTAACCTGCTCCTGCCTTACCCCTCCTTTGCTCCAGTCTCAGCCTTCCCATGTCTTCCTTTCATCTCATGTCCAATGTCCTCTCTCTTCTGCATCTTTAATGTCTTCCATATCAATCTAAAAACAATCTATAAACAAATCTGTAAACATTCTCCCATTTTAAAAAGTATGTCCCTCAATCTTGTCTCATCTACGACCATTTTATTTTTTTCCTCTCCAGCAGTCACTTCTGGAAAACTGCTTTAAAGTCACCATGATCCCTGATTGTCAGCTTTAAGTAGCTCCAATCCCATATTTAGCTTGACTTCTCTGAAGCACGTGGCTTTTAACTATTCACTCCTTTTGCAGTCTCTCCCCACAAAACCAAAGTTTCCTTCTTTATTTTTATTTAGTCTCCTTCTTTTTCCACCTCTGCCTCTTACATGTTAATATTCTGTCTTTAGCTTGCTTTCACTTCTTTTTTTTTTCTTTTTATGAAGTTTATTGGTACATTTTAGGTACACAGTACAGTTACATTCATTATTGGGATCTTGTACCTTTGCATGACAGGTCTTGGTTCTCATTTTTTCCCCTTGTCCCTGCCCTCCCTTCACCAATTTCACTTCTTATTATACACCCCACCTGTTATTGTGTAAACCTTGTGGCTTCAGCTACCACCTAGTTATCAAGAATCCCAAATCAGTGAATACCAAGTATTTAATGACAGTCACAAAGCTTTTATTCTTATTGTAGTCTTTTTTGAAGGCATTTACCTCCAGTAACTTCTGAAGAAGTTTCCATTACTGTCAAAACCAAACTCTAACCAACAGCAAATAGCAATATTTCTGGATCTTATTAAGGGGAAGTTTCTATCTATATGCGTGTGAGACTTTCAACACTATCTTTTAAAAATATGTACCCTTTATAAATGCTTATTTTTCTGGGATACCCAGATCTTGGTTAGAAATATTTTTTAATTAACTACTGAAATATTTCATCAGTGTTGCAGATCTTCAATTGTAGTATAATTTAAGCAACTGGATGAATTAACACAATTATGATCTTGGCTATGAGCGGAGAGGCTGAACTTATCCTTTTATAAGGAACTCACTCCTGGGAGAACTAATCTACTCTCATAGTGAACAGAAACCTCATGACCAAAAGTTCCATTTCTCAGCATTGTTGCATTGAGGATTGAGTCACCAACACGTGAACTTTGGAGGATGCAGTAAGGCCGTAGCATAATCTATTCATCTGTTGCCCCTACTGTATCCGTTGCCTCTACTGCTTTTTTCTCTTTATAACTCGGGATGAATGTATATTAAAATCTATCCCCCATGTCCTTTGACCTTCTTTCATACTTTCCATCTGTCTGCATTGATCCTAGATCATTGCTTCTGGCTTATCTTCAGTTCACTAATCTACTATACAGTAGAATTTTATCTACTATATATTGAGTTTTTAAATTTAGTTGCTGCAATCTTACTTGGTCCATTTTCTGGTCTAATTATTTTTGTAATCTCTCTCTCTTTTCTCAAATTTACACTTGGTGCTCAGTGGAACGTCATCTCACGCACCCTAATCTGAATGCATCTCACTCCCCACACCTGCGTATCCAACTTTGTTCATTACCTCTTCGAATAGCAGCAGCATCTGCCTAGTGGCATGAACAATAAACTATGTGCCATTTAAGATCATATGCCCATCTAATCAGCCACTAAGTGTTGTCTCTTAAATGTCTCCTGAACTCTCCCATCTTCACTATCCCAACCACTGTGTTCAGTTCCTCCTTGTGTCTTTCTTTTCCCACTTTTTCTCTTCCTTCTTGCTTTCTTCCACCCATTCCTTCCTTTTTCCAAATCTACTTTCCTGTTGCTGGAAGGATAGCTTTAAAATGTAAAGTAGAAATGTGAATTTTTTCTGCCTCATTCCCTTGAGGATAAAATCTAATTCCCCGGCATGACAACCCAGCCCTTCCTCGATGTGTGGACCTCTATCCCTTTGCCTCAGAGTTTCTGACCTGTTGAATTGCTTTTGTTCTCAGAACCAGACACCTGCACACAGCATCCTTTGCCTAGATCTTTGTGTCTTCTGCTCTCCCTTCCTCATACTACAAGAAAAATCTCAGGTAGTATCTCCTCTAGGAAACCACCTTAGCCTCTTCTTTCACCCCCATCCACTACCAGGTCTAAATTGGGTGCTTCTACTAAGTAACTTTGTATATCCAGAACATTTTTTTTTCCTTTTTTGGTTTTTGGGAGACAAGGTCTTGCGATGTAGCCCAAGCTGGCCTTGAACTCATGGCAATCCTCCAGTCTCAGCCTCCTAAGTGCTGGGATTACAGGTGTGCACCACCATGCCTGGCTAGAACATTTTGTTGTCCTCAAAACTTTAAGTTTCTTAGGGGCAGGGACCATTTTTATTAACCTTTGTATTCTTATCACTGGGACAGTACCCACTTGCAGAATTACTGCTCATTTAATATTTAAATAAATAATCACTAATATTTATATACACTAATCTATAATTATAATATTGGTGCATTGCACAGGACATTATAAAAGAATTGATTGAGCCTGAAATAGACCAGCCCATTCAAGAGGATGAAGGAGAAAATGAGGAGGATGAGAAACCTCAGAAGGAAGAAGAAGCAGAGAAAGTAGAAGAGGTAAGATTATGTGCGAGGCATGGTGGTTTACACCTGCAGTTTCAGCTACTTGGGAGGCTGAGGTGGGAGGATCCCTTAAACCCAGGAGCTGGAAATCAGCCTGGGCAACATAGCAAGACTTTGTATTATGTAGTATTATTTTTATTTCTCTTTCTCTTTTGTAAGACTAGACATAAGTACCATGGAAAGTAGAAGTGGGTCATCTAGAGTGAACTGTTCTTTTCCCTGTAAAGCTTTATTCACACTTGCAGCCACACTTGAAAAGGTGTCTCTTCCTTTCTAAATCCAGCAATTTCCCATTAGCTTCATTCACACCTACCCTGTTCACTACGCAATATCTCACCATAGTGCTAGTTTTTTGTTTGGTTTCAGTTTTGTTTTTTTGAAACAGGGTCTCACTGTATAGATCAGGCTGCCCTTGAACTTGAGGTGATCCTCCTGCCTCAACCTCCCAAGTGCTGGGATTACAGTTGTGTGCTCCACCACATCTGGCTTCTGTCCCTATTTTTTAAAATTATGGTTTAAAGTCTCCACTGCTCAGCTGGCTTTCCTCTTTCCTCTCAGGTCCAGCCCCACACCTCGCCTCACCTTAGCCTGATCTGCCCTTGCCTATGCATCGGTAGTGATAGAAACCCTTTCTGGGCATTTGTAGTGAAAACAGTACTAAAAACCAGGATGGTAACTACCAATCATCGAGTCCCTATCATGAGCTATAATGCTGTACATGTTATTTCTCATTTACAGAACACAACTTCAAAGTATAAAATAGTACCTTCATTTTATAGATAGGAAAACTGAAGCTCAGAAGGGCTGACTGACACAAAATCATGTCACTCTAACTGGAAGAACCAGTGTTCAAAGCCAGATGCACCTGGCCGAAGAGCACTTGCTAGATCCTAGATGGACTCCTATGAACCCAAGACTGCCTTATACTCTCTGCAGTGTCTTCATTTGCTCCCCTGATGTTTCTTCTCTGCAGGTAGTTTAAATAGCGCCACAAGTTCAGGCCTTCTACTCATTGCTAAGACAGGACAACAATATGATACACTCAAGCCTCTTTTAACTAGCATTTCTGTTTTATTCTGATAAAGTGCCTGGCATATAGGAGGGCAAGTACTTTTCCATTTAGGTGCAGAATAAATTGAAATATTATTGTTGTTATTATCATTATTACAATTCATGTGTGGACTTAGTTCAGGCCCTTTCCTCACTATTTTATAGCACCTGTTATAGTCAGGATTTACAAGGGAATAGATTTAATATGGGACAGAATTTATAGGATTATTTTATAATATTCACCAAAAACCAGTGGTGGAAGCTAAAAAGTCTGCACCAGTGGGGTGAAGGATTTGCACCAGGCTGAGAGTTCTGCACCAGAGCCAGGAAGCAATGCTCAAGGCAAAGACCAGAGCTCCCCTGATGAGAACAGCAGCTATCCCAGAGGTCCTCCAATAATGAGAATCAAGTTTATATCAGGAAAACCAGCCAAGGCAGGCTTCTCCAAGTAAATCAGCAGCCTACAGTTCTCCCTTCATTTATCCTTTTATGCCATTGGCAGCAATTCTCAGGGAGTCTTCTGTGCCCAGAACCATGCTTAACCATTGGTTAAACCACCACACCTATCCAGCCTTCCAATATTATTTTCTCTTTAACAATCTGAAATTTCAAGGTGAATGTCGTACCCTTGTTTTGGTGCACATGACCCTTTAAACACACCTTTATGTTAACAGTAATCACATTGTACCATGACTATTCATTTTATTATCTGTTTCTGTTATACTTGAGTTCCTGAGTTCTGGAAGAAATCTTTTGTTTATCCTATGGTTATATTCTCTTGTACCGAATCCCTTATTTCCACAATACTTTAGTGTTTGTTGTATGTAAGTCTTCAGAAATATCTGCTGAATGATTAAGGCAAGTGAAAATTAAAATTTCAGGCATATCTCCAGGTTGCTTGACATATCACTGTATTAAACACCCGCTGGCTAATGGGTCCTTGGTATTTCTTTTTCTTTCTTTTTTTTTTTTAATTTTTGTTCCGGGGATTGAACAGGGGTCCTTGCACTTATGAGGCAGGTGTGGCACCACTGAGCTAAATCCCTGACCCTCCTTGGTATTTCTTTGCTGCAGAAACCTTCAACATCTACAGAGAAGGAAAAAGTCATTCGATTCATTGGAGAAGATGAAAATGTTCATTCCAAACCTCTGTTTGAAGCAGATGCATTATCTTCCTGGGTATGTATCTAGAACTGAACTAGAAAATTTAAAACTGTTAACGTTATGTGAAAAAGATATGGATCTATGTAACTTTTAGTTTTTCTAAGAGAACAAGGGGGAGCTAAGTAATGTATTTTATTTTATTTTCCTGTAGAATCTTCTATTAAAAACCTTCATTTTTTTCACCTTAACTTTACAAAATTTCTCTTATTTTAATATCAGAATTTCATCCTTTCATTAATTTAACAAATCCTCCATCAATATGTGACCAGTCAACATCCTCATTCAACAGATTTTATTGATGAGCACATACTTCAAACACAAGAATTGTTGTGAGATTGGAAATGTAGAGATAGTGGCTGTGGAAACTCAGTAAGAAAGCAGATTTAAAATTTCTCCAGAGAAATTTCATTCTAGGACCATAGTGCATTTATGTCAACAATAGATGTCTCCCTGTCCCTGTCCCTGTCCCTGTCCCTCTCCCTCTCCTTCTCCCTCTCCCTCCCCCTCCTAAATATTGTGATTTTAAGAGTCAATGGATCCACTGCCTGCCTTGCAGGCGCAAAGTCCCGAGTTTGATGCCCAGTACCAAAGAAGAAGAAGAAGAAGAAAAAGAGTCAATGGCTGGGCTTCATTAGATCAGTTCCCTGAAATTAGATGCAGTATTTTATGTATGTGTTCATATTGTGTATTTGCTAGGATTGGGGGAATCAATAGATTTCATAAAATTTCTCAACCCTAAAGAACCATTTCATCGTTAGGTAATCTGACCCGTTGGAATAAGTGTGGTGTATTCAAGGGTGGGGAGCTGTGGTGGGGTTGATAGTGGTAGATGACAGCTAGGTCATTAAGGTGGAGGCCTGGTCCAAAGGAGTGTACATCAAGGAAGTTGTAGGCAATAAGATCTAATTTTGGTAGGAAGATATGAGAAATCATGTGGAGTACAAAACTGGGGTACGAAGAATGCACATTCTCCCAATGTGGGTGTGTTTCAACGGATTTTCATAGTAATACATTCATTTGTCAGTCATTAAGAGTGCTTGTCAGCCATAGATGTTAAAGGAAGTAGCACAAATGCAATGCAATGTCATAAGACATGTTTAAAAAAACACCAGCCCCAGGCAAAGCCTTCCTGCTTCAGACTTCCTCACTTGAAGTAAGAACCCTACTATGCTATCCAACAGATGCATGAAAGTCAGGTCCTGAAACCAGGCAGAAAGCAGGGGAAAACAGGAGCCTGTAACGGAGCAAAAGTGAGGATTATTGCATGTCCTCACACATGTCTTTGATGCAGCTCCTGGACACCACTGTTCTGTATGATATTGTGTGGTACCACGTGGATAGCTCAGCTGAGGAGGGTGTGGCTCAGAAAGTCCATCTCTGGCCTTGTGAGAAGTTCTGCTTCTACCTTAGATCACTGAAAACCAAGCTGTCTAGGTTCTCATTGACCAGTAGTCTGGAGAGTGGACTAAAATGCCGTCTAGATGTACAATTATTTGCAAGTTTTTAGAGGTCAAGCATCACATTCATTCTGTGAGGTGGCAGCTGGAGCACTGCACAGGTAGGAGCACCAGGGGCTCAAACAGAAAGTTTGAGCTACATTGGTGGGGACAGACTGATGTTGGCAACCAGCAAAAGAAGTTTCCTTGAACTGGCTTATGAGGTCAGACATTTGGGCCAGAAGGTAAAGCTAGGAGCAGAGTATCTTGATTTAGGCCACATGTTCTTTCTGTTTACAGAGGTATCAGGGCTCCCTATAGATAGTTCAAAGTTTCAAAACTTTCCACTCTTTTCTTTTCTTTTTGTTTGTTTTTCTTTTTTTTCATAGACACTCAGCATCTGAACAAAAATAAGCATTTAGTAAGGATAAATGTCCAAGGCACCTGTTGGGGAGATGTGCTCTTTCTCTTCCTGATGTAAAAACACAGCTTCCAGGAGACAGTACACTTGATTAACATCGGGGATGGAAAGGAAAAAGAGAGAAAGGGATAGGAAAGCAAAAGCTTTGTGATCTGCAGATATAACTTGCCATGGTCCTCAGAGCTGAGTTGCAGAACAGGAAAGCTCTAAGATGTAGCTGCCCTGGGTTTCTAGTGAGAAGCTCCAGACTGCTGGGAAGCTAGGGATCTGAACATAGAGAATGCTGGTAACTCCTAGTGTTGTTTTTTCCAAATGATTGTGGGATAAGATTTTCCTGGGGCTGAGATGCAAGTGATCTCTCCACAGAAGTGGTAGTGAGTCATTACCAGCTTGGGCAGGCTAATTGCTTGGCCTGATAAACCAGAGCCTTACTCCTATTGCTACCTGATGTCTTAGTGCCTACCATGAGAGGGGTCTGAATAATAATATATTATTCAGATCTGTCCTCAGTGAGATGGGAAATAGGACTTGTAGGAATTCCTTAGGTTGTGGTTATTGTTTGTTTGTTTTTGTTTTGTGAGACAGGGTTTTGTTATGTAGTTCAAACTGGTCTTGAACTCTATATAGGCCAGTCTGACCTCAAATGTGTGGCAACCCTCCTGCCTCATCCTTCTGAATGCTGGGATTATAGACATGCACCACCATGTCTGGTTTGTAGGAATTCCTAGGATTATACTCAAAGCTGGCACTCCTGTACAAAATATAGGCTTCTGTTCTGTATTGAAGTATGGCTACCAATTTAAGTCACTGGTGAACCAAATGATCCATTAAGCAACATTGACTTTGCCTCTGTCTTGCCTGCGGAAAGCTACTCTGCCTTCAGGTGTGGCCCAATTTAGTCATTTCTGGGTGGTTGTTTCACAGCAATCTCGCGGCCCTTTCTGGGCCAGAATTAGAATCAGAATTCCTAGCAGCCTGAATTCCATAACATTTCAGCTGTCAGAGAAATGGGATGTCTAAATTCAGGAAGTTCTCCCAGAGGCTACCAAAAATGTTCAGTGCAGTGCACCCTAATGCAGACATGTGGCTATGCGAATAGGGTGACTTATAGCTCAGCCACTCAAACAAGGAAGACACTAGAAACAGACTTTCTAGGGGTCATCTTAAACTTACAGGTCTTGACAATGCATAGTTACAAGTGTATTAGGAAGGTAGAGTATTTTACCGGATCACCTGTTAATTCCTTTGAAAGGGCAAACAGGGTCCAGAGTTGGGATAAGCAGTATTTACAACACAAAAGTAGACATTCTACCTTCACCTCCTCATCTGTGTTAAAGGATGTCTGTGTTCTCCTTTTATAATACCATGTACCTTGGCCATAGGTGTCAAGAGCATTGATTACCCATTTTATAACAGCAACTGAGAAGGTACTTTGAAATAGATGGCTCCAGGAAGTATGTCCACAGCTCATAAGAACACAAACCTGGCTGGAAGTTCAGTGTTGAGAACTGGATTCAAAGGAGCTGGACCTGGAACCATATCTTCTCTGAGACATTCTCAACCTAGAGAGTTTGGTCCAATCCAAAACCCATTACTAAAGTCAAACACCAGCAAGACCAAGCCAAAAAGGTCAAAGGCAGAATTGGAGACAGACCAAGACTAGCTCGAAGCTACAATAGATACAAACAGATAAAGAGAGTCCAATACATTTTAAGAGCTATGGGTCCATGTTCATCTTTAGCATACAGTGAGTGGGAGAGCGTGAAAGCCATAGGAAGGTTAAGAATATGAACAAAGGGCCCAAGGCTATATCTGTGATTAGGGTATGGGTGATGCATGGCATTTACCACTTGATATACATAGAAGATGCTAGTGGCCAAGCATTCAGCATTTCAAACCAAAAGAATTTCCTGAAAGGTTTGAAGTGGACCTCTAAACATTAATATATGTATATGTATATGCTTGCCAGTATCAGAACAGAGGGATGTTCTCTTGGTACATTATCAACAAACATATATCTGATGACTAAATAAGGAAAGCCAGGAAGTTAAAATGTATGCAGTGTATAATCCTGGTTTACCTTAGGTTCCACCCATAGTTACACATGTTTCACAAGGCCATAAATCACGTGTGGAATTCCAACCTAAGAACAAACAAATATCACATGCTACTTTTTCAGGCTGAAAAATAATAGCACATCATCTCCCCTTATCTGTGGGGGATACCTTCCAAGAAGGTTTGCCTGAAACAGGGATAGTACCTGGGTTAATCCTCTTTTGTGTCACTGTAACAAAATACCTGAGACAAGCCAAATACCTGAGGAAAGAATTATTTTGGCTTATAGTTTTAGTCCATGATCAGTCCACAATCACTTGGTCCATTGTCTTTGGGCCCATGATGAGGCAAAACATTATGGTAGGGATGCATGGTGTAGCAAGGCTGTTTACTTCATGGCAACCAGGAAGAAAAAGGAGAGAAGAGGGGCTAGGGTCCCAATGTGCCTTCTAAGGGTTTGCTCCAGTGGCCTGACTTCCTTCCATTAGACCCCAGCTCCTGAAAATTGTACTACCTCCCATTAGCACCAGTGACTGGAACCAAACTTTCAACACCCAAGCTTTGTGTGTGTGTGTGTGTGTGTGTGTGTGAGAGGGGGGGGGTAAAACAGTACCTATGCAGGCACTGTGACACTATGGCGCACCAATCCAATAGCCAAAAGAGCTACAAAAGTGGGGAGCATATATAGCAGGGATACATTGGGCAAATGGATGATCTCATCCAGCGTCAGACAGACCAGGATGGTCACATTACTCAGAACAGTGTCCAGTTTTAAACTAATGCATTGTTTATTTCTGAAATGTTCCTGTGATAACTTCTGACTGTTTCACCATGAGTAATTGAAGCTGCAGAAAGTAAAGTCGTGTATAAGGTGGAACTACTGTATTTGCTTTCCAAACAGATTACCCAAGAAAGGGCAACAAAGTAGAAAGAAAAGAATACGTGACAGAGAAGGAAGAGAGTAGAATATCCAAAAAAAAGTTTAACATAGTTTCTTTTCTCTGGTTTTAGCAAAAGGTAGCACAGTGTGGTGGCATGTATGATCAAGGATGAAAGGCCCACAGAAGGGTTTTTGCCTTATCCCATTGATCATGGTATCCTTATGGAAAGTCGCCTAGCATACTAGTCATTTTATGCTGCTGGGACAAAATACCCAACACCCACAATTTAAAAGAGGAGAGGATTATTTGGTTCATGTTTGCAGTGGGTTCAATCTAGAGCCAGCTGGCTCCCAGGCAGAAATGGCCATGGTGGAAGGGCCTGGGAGAGAAAAGCTACTCATCCCAGGGCAGCCAGGAAGCAGAGAGGAAGGAGGCCCTAGGACCAAAACTACATCCAGGTTAGACCTCCAGTGACCCATCTGACCAGGCCCCACCTTCTTATAGGACACTGAGCTATGAACTCATGAAGAGATGAATCTTCTGATGAGTATAGCTCCTCCATGATCCAAAACAAAAAGATGAGATTTGTGGGGACATTTTAGATCTAAACCATGACAGCTGCCCCAAGACATTTCTTTTCGATGTGATGTAGGGTTTACTTGCCACTGATTGGGAAGACAGATAAATGGGATTTTTATAAATATATACTTCTCAGGAAAGGAAGTGTACACTTGGAACTGTACTTATATTTTTTTCTTCTAATATCTTTCTCCACCTTCCTCTTATTTTGATTTCAATAATATATCTAGATTCAAAATAAAGAAGTGATTTTAGTTTTCAAATTTTCCTCTTCCTGGAAAGATTTACACCTTTAACTGATTTTTATGAAGTTCCTTAAGGAATTTCAAAATCTTATTTGGCTTTGCAATATGCTTAGTGAAGTAATTATGAATAATAAAATCGTTAATTTCTTTGATCTTGAATTTATTAGAGAAACATGTTTGCCTTTTTTATTTTTAGAATCTTTCCCTTTGCTTCTTTTTGTCATTCTTTTCCCTTCTTCCTCTTTACGTTGCTAATGAAATTCATGTCTATCTGTAGTATGAATAATTTGGAAGTTGTTAAGCTATTTGGCCCAAGGCAATCTCCATTACTTTTTGGCATTAAAGGTATGCTTAATCTTCTATTAGATAAATATAAGCAGTAGAAAAAGAATATTGTGGAAGGCTTGATCTTGAACATCCTCAGGAAGTAAGGTTGGGACTCTCAATTCATTTATACTGCATATTTCATTTGTCAGAGAGAATCAGCTAACCAAGGCACACTGGCCCACAAATACCTTGAAGCAATGGCTGTAATTGAACATATGCAGACGAAGCTGATGTAAGTACGAAGTGTCACAGTGATAAGAGGATGAAGACTGCCAGTCAGCAGTCTGGCTGAGGAATCCACACTTCTTTGCTTACCTTTCTTTGTCGTGCTTATTTTGTTCTCACTAGGAGTTGGGTATCTCCGAATCTTCTTGAGGGAATGAATTTTATGGCTGTGGTAGGTACATCCTTCATAATCCACAGTGCAGAATGAAGTCAGAAAGAGAGAGAGAAGAGGGGATGGGAAAGAGGGGAGGGGCAAAGAATTAAGAAAAATTCAATTTAGAATGTTTTCTAACAGAAGACTTAAAGAAAAAAATAGAACTGGGAGGAATTAGTGTGTTTAAGAAAGAGTGTTTCATAACCCAAAGAGGAGTAAAGGCAGTACAGTTAAGATGGCTGAGGAGGCTAGTCGGAGTTGGTCATCTGAGGAGTGCTTTGTTTTTCTCGGATGCTGTTGTTCAAATAAGAATTGAGTCTTCGACATGAAGCAACATAGGAGCCCAGAAGCAGCGCAAGACCTTCTGGTAGGGCCACCCCTTCGGCACAGCACAGCAGAGGAGCCCAGCTCTGCAGGGGCCAACACAGCAGCGTCTGTGCCCCCCACCCAACAATAGAAACAGGGTCTCTCTGAGGCTCCTAGATGAAAATTGAAGCCCACTGGAAAAGTGAAGAAAGTCTGCAATAAGGGCACAGCACACCACCATAGTTGGTAAATCAGAGGGACCAGCACCTCACATCGGAACCTGGTCTAACTTCAGGGGAAAGACAGCTGCACCCTGCAGTAGAACCTTGCAGCTTTCAACCCAGCAGGAGGTCAGAGATCTCAACTTGGGTCTTGGAGCCCGAAATCAGCCTCATCCTCAGGGAACAGCTGCTGGCTTGCTGAGACTAACTTAGATCTGCACACTCCTGCTCTTGCTGTCTACTGTGTCAACAGAGGCACACCCTGAAGGAGGCCCTTTATTTGTATTTTTTATTTTCAAAGTAATATTTTTCTCTCATCTTTAATCATTTAAAAAATTTATCTTTTTTTCTCAAATTTTTTTGCTTTTTAAGTTTTCTTTTTCTTATCTTTCTTTCTCTCTCTCTCCCTTCTCTCCTCCATGATCTTCATTTCTTTCCCTTTTTGTTCCTGTTCCTATCCTATTCAAATTTATTTTCTTTTTCTTTTCTTCTTTTTCCTTCTCTTGATTGCCATTAGTTTTAAAAGAAAGTGATTACAGTCTCTAGTCTCTTGCCGTTAGCTTGTTCTGTTTTGCGAATATTTTATTCTATCTTCTCCTCTCTTAACAGCTTCCTAGAGTTTGTGTGGTCTTGTGTCCTCTGACCTCACTTCTAACCTTTCTCTATCGTATCTATCCCTCCATCCCCAATGACTTCTAAGTCCCCATCCTGAAAAAAAAAAAAATAGATGAACTCATGACCATGATGGAAACCAGGAATGCCCAGCATAGGAAAGAAATGGAATCCATGAGACAGATTCAAACAGATACCCAGGAGATTTAAAAACTCTATAGAAAGCATTTGCAGCAGAATAAACGAATTCAAGAGAAAACAATCCAAAAATTCGTTTGGAACCAGAAGAGACCTAGAATAGCAAAAGCCATTATATGCAGCAGAGATATGGCAGGGGGGTATCACAATCCCCAAACTGAAACTGCTCTACAAAGCCACTGTGGTAAAAACTCTATGGTACTGGCAAAGAAACAGACCTGAGGATCAATGGAATAGATTAGAAGATGCAGAAACACCAGACATACTCAGTTACCTCACATTTGTCAAAGGCAACTATCCTCACTGGCTGAAAGATAACTTCTTTAATAAATGGTGTTTGAAAAAATGCCTTTCACCTTATCAAATATTAAAACTAGATCCCTATCTTTCACCATGCACTAAACTAAAATTGAAGTGGGTTAAAGATCTAAATATTAAAACAGAAACACTAAACTTACTGGAAAGTAAATTAGATAGAACTCTCAAAGACATTGGCACAGGAGAAGACTTTATGAACAAATCCTCAGCAACATGAAAACTTGCACAAAGAATCAACAACTGGGATCTCATTGTATTAAAAAGTTTTTGCAGTTTTTGCAGTGCAAGAGAAACCACCAACAAGGCTAAGAGGCAACCTATAATGTGGGAAAAAATTTTACCAGCTGCTCCTCAGACAAATGACTACTATCTAGAATATATAAAGAGTTTAAAAAATCAAACCCCCCCACAAATATAAAGACCTGATTCAAAAATGGGCATCTGAAATGAACAGACAATTCCCAAACAAATAAAAGCAGCAAATAAATATATGAAAAAATGTTCAACATCACTGGTCATTCAAGAGATGCAGATGAAAACAACACTGAGATTCTACCTCACCCCAGAAAGAATGGCTGCTATCAAAAAATCAGTAACACCAAAAAAAGAGGGGCGCTGGGGATTTAGCTCAGCGGTTCATTGGCCTGCCTCGCAAGTGCAAGGACGTGAGTTTGATCCCTGGTACCACCAAAAAAAAAAAGAAAAAAGAAATCAATAACAAATGCTGGTGGGGGTGTGGAGAGAAAGGAACATGTCTTCATTGTTGGTGGGAGTGCAGACAGTGCAACCACTGTGGAAGTCAATATGGACATACCTCAAAGAAGTAGGACTAGTGGCCCCATTTGACCCAGCCATCCCTCTGCTGGGTATCTTTCCAAAGCAATTAAAAGAATCATTCCACAGTGATATATGCACACCCATGTTTATAGTGGCACAGTTTGTAATAGCTAAAACTTCAAAACAACCCAAATGCCCATCAGATAAAGATGTGGTTTTTCTACAAAATGTAGTACTGCTTGGCCATAAAGAATGAGAAACTAGAGACATTTATAGCTAAATGGATGCACATTGAGGCTCTTAAGTGAAATAAATAGGACACACTTGAGTAAATACCAAATAATTTCTCTGGTGTGAAAAACTAGAGAGTAACTAAAGTTCAAATAATATAATTGATAGTATGAAATAGGAAGAAAATGGCTAAAGGGGAAGTGGGAAGGGGAGGGGAAAGGAAATAAGAAAAATGAAAAAATGGAAACAAAGTCTTTGAAAATAGGGAAGAGTGGAGGGGGTGAAGGGAGGGCAGAGGTATGGGAGAAAAAGTAAGAATCCAGATAGATCATGTAAAGGTACAAGATCCCAATGATGAATGTAACTGTACTGTTTGTTTTAAATGTACCTATAAACTTACTGGGAGAAAAAAGATGGCTCCCCCCAAAAAGGCATATAGATATATAACATGCTCTGGTAAGTAAGGGGATTATCTCAAGCTGGTTGTTTTCATTGTAAAATCTGGCTCTAGAAGCACTAAGAAATAAGGAATGCTATTGGACTTAGTCTATTGAATCATATGAAGCCAAAGTTAACTCCTGAAAGAGGGTCCCTGACTATTGATGGAGAATTTCAAATACCCAGAAGTCAAAAGTAACTGATAAATTATAAATAATTTGTATTCTTAAATCACAGTATGATTGCAATTCTAACATTAGGGTGCAGAGTGGTTTCTAGGCCTTTAATTCTTTGTTAATCTTTGATGGTCCTGCTTCTTCCATTTGGACCAGAAGACACACTTATCTGCTCTCCCACTACCTTCTTTTTTTTTTTTTTTTTAACATAGTGAGGTCCTGTATCAAAGGTCCTTGTTTACCCCTTTCCATTTTGTTGTGTTTCTCTGGACTTTGCTCACATCAGGGAGGTTGAAAGCAGAGCCAGAAGGGCAGAGGAAAGGTTTGAGGATGTAAATGAAAAGTTTCATCATACTCTCATAAGAAATAAAGACCTGGAGAAGAAACTGGAGGAAATAGTGCTTAAGCCGAGACAAGAGTTGGAAAAAGGAGAGGAAAATGAGGTAGTAAAAGCAGAGGAAGAAAAAGAAGAAAAAGAGGAGGAGGAAGAAGTCAGGCCAGTAGAAAGTATCATACAATCTCAAAAGAAAGGTAAACATTGCTTTCTTATTTTGCTTTATTTGGGTTATAGTTAAAAATCACCCTTGACTTGGTCATAAGTATTTTAAAAGAACATGAGTATCTATAGTGGTGACCCATTGTCTGTACTTCTCATAGGCATGCAAATATGTTTAATGATCTGATCCAAACAACTCTCACACACAAAAAAACAAAAAAACTAACACTTGTGGACAAATAAACTAACACAAAGTACAATTTTTACTTAAAATACTGGTAGTTTTTTTTTTAAACTGGAAGAAAATGCTGATCATAAGGTGCAATATAGTTTTATAGGTAATACCTATAGAAAGAAAAACATAAACCTTTAGAACATAATTCAGTGGTATATGTAGCCATTCCTTTAAAACATGTATATACTTCTACCAAATAATTTCACTCTTGAAAATCTAGTCTAGAGAAATAGCTGAGTGTGGTGGCCCATGCCTATAGTTCCAGCAGTGCCCCATACCTATAGTATAGTCCTAGCTACTCAGGAGGCTGAGGCAGGAGGCTTCCGTACGCTCACATTGAAGGCTAGCCTGGGTAACGTAACAAGCCCCAGCAGGAAAGAGCTGCCACCTGCCTCACAAGCTCAAGGCCCTGAGTTCCATCCCCCATTCAAAAAAAAAAAAAGAGTGAAAGAAAAAAAAGAGAGAAAGGGAAAACAAAGAGGAAAGGGAAGAAAGAAAAGAGAGAGAGAGAGTAAGAGAATCCATGGGTTGGGGTGTAGCTCAGTGATGGTGTGCTTGCCTATCTCAAGTGAGGCTCTGGGTTGCTCTTTAGCACTGCAAAACAGGAGAAACAGTAAATGAATATGAGATATTCAGTGCATTATTAAATATTATAGTAAAAATAGAAGCAGCCTGCCTTTCCAGTCATGGAAGAAAGACTAAATAAATAATGTTATATTTGACTATTATCCAACTATTAAAATATATTTATAAGGAGTTTTTAATGCAAAGATATCAAACACAAGATATAGAACATTTGTTTTAAGACTAGTAAAATGACCAGAAAGAAATGTGACCAAATATTTACAGAAATTGTCTCTGTGTAATGGAGATCTACAGGGAATTTTATCTTTGTTTTGTTTTGGTATTTGCTGGGTTTTCTATGATTTAAAAAAGTCTGCTTTGATTCTCCAGGGAGAGAAATTTTCTTTAATTTTTTTGGCTTTTTTTAGCTCTTTAATCTGCTTACAAGCAATCCTCAATATCGTCAGTGTTGGAGAAAATTTTTTGAGTTTTGCTTTCATCTCCAACCTGTGATCTGTTCCCAGGACCATTCCTGGCACAAGGATAATACTGGGAAAATACTGTAACTACTTCTGTTTTTCTCTCACCCCTGTCTTGCCTCCAGCAGGAGCAATGGACTCAGCCAGCCCTCACAGCCCCTGACCCTAGGCACAGGGTCATCAGTACTGTTTGGAAGAAGAGTTTGAGTCATTTTCTTTACTGCTTTTGACTCTGAACTGGTGGAAATGTTATTTATTCTAAGTGTGACAGTCCTTTAGCTTTAGGTTTTGAATATATGTGAAATATTTTTTCATGAATTTTTAAAAATGTCATCCCCTTAAATTCTGGATGCAGTTTTATCTCAATTTAAAAACTAGACCTTTTCTATGTTTAGAAATAAATATACAAACCATACAAAAGTCTTTGTTAAATTGGAGATATTACCTCAGTGTGGAATGAGAAACTTTATTGTGTCCATTTTCATAAAGATCTTTAGGATTAGGGTGAGTCCAGAATTGAGAAGTTTCAATGATTTAAGGTACAGGTAGCGATATCTAGTTAGTCCCCAACCTGTCCAAAGACATTGGCATTCTTCTCCCGTCTTCCAGACCCTGCATCAGAGTCACTGCTGAGGCTCTGAAGTGGAGGATGAGAAGCTTCTCAAAGCTTGGGAGATCTGGCTCCTCATCAAGGCAGCCACTTGCCCTGTGGGTGACCAGAATGTCCCTGAGGTAGACATTTCTTCCAGTGAGCAGGTAGCCCTTGAAGAAATGCAGATGCTCTGGAGCAATCTGACATTGCTGTATTTGTGAGAGTTAGTGCAGTGCAGTGAGATCACTGTTTTCCTGAAAGTTGCGCTCTGAAGGAGTGGAAAATTGTACCTTGGTAAGGATTCTATGAATGCTGGGTAAAGAGGAGATCTGGACAGAGTAAGGGAACGTATTTATTTCTCTTTTCATATCCATATTTTTAATAATTAGCATATTGCCGTGTTCTTAGCTGTGGGTAAAGAAATGAATTGAAAGGGGAGTTTACAGAGAGAAATATGACTTAGTCCTTGATCTGAAAGGGGCTTGAAACTGCAAGTGGGGAAGATACACTAAAATCAGCCCAAGGGCGTGAACAAAAGTGAGCGAGTGTAGGGTGCAGATGGCAGCAGCCAGTCTGAAGGATTCAAATCAGGAATCTGGGCATCACAGAAGAGCACAATTGATGGCCAGAGGCCTGTGGCACCATTCAGGGGCAAGGCTTGTGTAGGGTCTGCGCTCAGGAGGCTGGAGAGAGAGAGGGTAGAGACAGCAGAGGGATGCATTATGAAGGAAGATTAGAAACACCGTTTGAATTTTTTTTCCACCAAGCTTGATACATGAACAAGAGCAAGGAGGTAATACTCTTCCTTCTCTTCTTCGCTCCTTGGTCACATAGTCCCCTGCCCCAGCACCTCGAACTCATGCAAGTCACTGACCTTACTTAAACTTTGGAAAATGTATCCTCAATCCCAATAACCATTTTAGAGTCAAATGTTTAGCACATAGCTTATTTATAAGCTTGGGTATTACTCAGGAAAAATGGGATTTTAAAGCAGCTTTTTAAACCTTTAGTAAATATATTACTACTATAACACTCTAATTGTTTTTGCCTTCTCAGAGGCACCACGCAACGTTAAATCCAAAACTCGGACCAAATCCAGTAATAAGCCTAAGCCCAAGTAACATCCAGTAGAGCACAAGGGTTCACAGTGCTGTGTCCCTGGACACGCCCGGCATTGCTGAGCTGTGGAGCTGACAACATGCCGCACTTGGAGGATTCCCTTTGCAACAACTGCTAGAAAAGCCACGGTATGCAAGCCAAGAGCATTTTCTCTCAGCACAGCAGTGGCCATAGGGACTCCGTGTATTCATTTATTCCCAGATTAAAAACGGTTTATGGAAAAGTTTGCTAGCCTTTTTTATTGGTTTCCTGAGAGATCTGTGAAAAGTGTTGGTTTCTGTCAAGAAAATAATGCTTTTTGAAGACTTTGAACCCTTCAGAGAAGACTAGCAAATAGAAGAACTTCATTTTTTCAATTTAGAAGGGGGAGGATCTAGATAACACTCTTAGGTGTCTGCAGCACTTTTAGAGCTCTTCTGGTTTCAGACATGCTTATGATTTCTCGGATCTTCACAATAACCCACAAATAGGTGAGGGAGATACTGCTCTTCCCGTTTCCCAGAGTGAAACCAAGGCCCAAGATGGTGAGAGGACTTTCTGAAGTTACAGAGCTGACTGGTGTCCAAGTCCCCAGCTCCTTGGGCTCCTGTCTAGAATGTTTGGCAATAGCGAAGAAGTACTTGGTGTTGGCTCATAGGGCTTCCTTCACAGGGCCGATATTGCTGAAGATTCACCAAGAATCTCCATCTTTTTATTGTCTTATATGTCTGTTCTGATAAGGACCCTACATCCACGTAGACGTGAGACATGGACTAACTTCCAAAGTGTTACAAATGATAAGTGGATATGCGGCAATCACTCACCCAGGGCTGCTTTCTACACTGGGCTGCTCACTCCCTTGCGCTTTATCTGTCTGACTCCAAACACTCATGGTGAGATCGCTACACTTATTTTGGCTTCTGCTGGATACATTTTTGATATTCCTTTGGGTTTATCGCCTAGGATTTTAAGCCTTTACTCTTTCAGCCTCAGAAACCACCAAACTCCAGAGCCTCTAGCCTTGTTTCTTTTCATCTTTATTTTTTATTAGCACCTGTTTGCCATACATAATGATCACACTCATCATGGGGAGTTCGTACCTGTACATAATATAGTTTAATTATCCTTTTTCCCATTTCCCTCCCCTCCCTTCAACCTTTCTTCCCTTCCCCCTTTAAAAAATCTATTTTCATTTTTTCCTTCTGTAGCACTTTTCTAAAAAATCCCTTTTCCATTCCTTCCCCTCCTCCTACCCCCTCCCTTGTTCCCCTTCACATTTGAATAAATTCCTACTTCCCCATATCTATCCTCTATTTTGATCCTTATTTACACTCTGGGTTTCTTATACAAGAGAAACAACGTGGTACTTAAACTTGTATGTCTGATTTATTTCACTTGAGATTGTGGTCTGGAGGTGCATCCATTTACCTAAAAATGTCTCAAGTTTATCCTTCTTTATGGCAGGTAGTACTCCATTATACCACATTTTCTTTATCCATTCATCTGTTGATGGGCATGTGGACTATGTCCAAGATTGAGCTATTATAAATTGTGTTGCTGTAAACCTGGGTGTGTATGTCTCAGTGTGGTATGATGCTTTTAGCTCTTTCGGGAAGATACATAGAAAATAGCTAGGTCAAATGAAACTTCTAGTTTTCTTTTTCATTAGGAATCTCCATACTGATTTCCATATTGGTTATGCCAACTTACACTCCCACCAACAGTGGGGAAATGTTCCTTTTTCCCCACAGCCTCCCACCATTTGTTATTGATTTCTTGAGGATAGCCATTCTTTCTGGAGTGAGATGGAATCTCAGTGTTGTTTTGATTTCCATTTCCCAAATGATCAGTGAGGTTGAACAGTCTTTTCATGTGTTAATTTTCTGTTTGTATTTCTTCATCTGTGAAGTGTCTGTTGATTTCAAATGCCTGTTTTCGAACTGGATCTTTAAATTTGGAGGGGTGTAACTTTTTTGAGTTCTTTATATATTCTAGATATACTCCCGTGGCTGAGGAGTAGCTGGCAATTTTTTTCCCATTCTGTGGGGTATAGCTTCACTCTTAGTAATTTCTTTTTTTTTTTTGTACCCGGGATTGAACTCAGGTCCTTGCGCTTGCAAAGCAGGCAACCGAACCGCTGAGCTAAATCCCCGGCCTGTAATTTCTTTAATTGTACAAAAGCTCTTTAATTAGATAAGGTCCTATTTGTTGATTCTTTGTAATATTTTTGTGAAATTGGGATTTTGTTCATAAAGTCTTTGCCTGTACCCTTTTTAAGAGTTTTACTTATTCCATCTTCTTGTCCATTCCACGATCTGGTGTTTCTGTTTTAATATTTAGATCTTTGACCCATTTCCAGTTTAGTTTATTGCATGGTAAGAGATACAAGTCTAGTATTAATCTTCGGCATGTGGAAAACCAGTTTTCCCAAGACCATTTATTAAAGAGGCTATTTTTCTTCCAGCAAAGATGTTTGACCCCTTTGTCAAAGATAAGGTAGCTGAGTGTGCTTGGAGTTGCTTCTGCATCTTGTAGTCTGTTCGACTGATCCTCAGGTCTGTTTTATTTTTTTGCCAATACCATCCCCAGCCTTATTTAAATTGAAACACTTCAGAATTTGCACATGTAATCTTCTATATTTCATTCCCACCATGACATTATAAGCATTTGTTTCAAAGTGCACACATACTCAGGATCATAGGACAGCAAAAGCAGGATAGAAGAGAGTTTTTCCTCATAGTGGGCAATAGTTACAGCCAGATGGCAATTTCTCCTTTTCCTTGCCTAGGTTTGACTATTTTGATGACCAGAGTGGGAAATGGGGAATGGATTATCATGTTACCTTGTCCACTCCACAGTCTGTTGAATATCTGTTTGGGACTGGGAGTGGGAATGTCTTACTTCTCAAAAAGTAGTAGTTTATCTTGGTGCAGATCATGTTTGTTGTATCTTTACAATATAGGTCTCAGCTATCATGCTGTAATGCTTCTCTGAGCTCAGAAAAAGCTGGAGGTGCAACTGATGATCCCTTTTCAAAGGGTTATTCTTCTGCATCCTGTACTTAATTCTCATACTCTACTGAGCAAAGGCACTGACTGACACATAGGCCAGAACTTTAGAGGGCAGGGGAGTGCTCTTAGTCCCACTAGAACTACTGCTAAAGAACTCTGTGGTAGTAGTCAGGAGCAAGCTGGAAAGGCTACTGCAGGGCATCTATAGATCATACTGTTAGAAGAAATAAGCAATCTGGTAAATTCTACACTGAAATACAATACTCTCACCCCCCTATTTCTACTGATTCTTTCTCAGTTTTAAAGAGTATATATATATATGGTTTTTAACCTTTTTATTAATTAATTTATTTAAAAAAGGAATCTCCATAGAAAGAATTCCTTTTAAATACTTTGGAGTGTAAATTTTATGTCCAACACAAGCACATCTCTTCTTGCATTTACTTAGGAACACTGAGGTGTCACCACTGTGCACCTACCAGGGTTAGGTTGAAGAACTGAAGGATTGCGTGTGGTGGGGTGGTGAGTGAGCAGTTCCTGTGAAGAACTGGTAGTGTAGTTGGAGAGAAGCCTGAATCTTAGGTGCAGGTTTACAATTGAATGTGACAAGCACAATGATAGGGGCTTCAGAGAAAGGAATATGGAGGCTGCAAAAACCTTGCCAACGGGGCCAGTCTGTAGAGTAAAAGGAACATTTATTTGAACTACAGTTTCAGAAGTCAAAATTGAACCATGTTTAGAATCAAATTTTTTTCCAAATTAGAATGTATACTAAAGCTCTTTCCCATAAGTACTCTGATTAGTACTGATGGTCCATCTAAACTTGTGAGGTGCCTTGTATATCCTTACAGCATTTTATGATCTTCCATTGTATGTACCTGCACTTAGATGTAAGGACATTCCGTTTGCCAACCAGAGAAGGGCAGGAAGCGAGGACCGAGTGTCTGAAGACCGCTTTACAGTTGTATTATGCTTTGCCCATCTCCCTATAACATGGGAGAGTCTTTCTTTTTGGGATTTAGTGGCTCAACAGGTTTGGCAGAATTTGGGAGGGGGATGCTTCCTTGAGTTCGATTGCTAGGAGAGGGCAGAAAATTTAGAAGGTCAAATGGCAAAGGTAAAACCACAGTGGAAGGTTTTTCTGTGGACAAAGACTGAAGAGTGTGGAGGTATCGAAGCTGAACAGCAGCCGGAGTTCCCGACAGAATCTCAGCTGCCATCCTCAGGGACTCCGAGGCAGCCTTCTCTCCTTCCGCAGCTATCATCTAGAAAACAAGGGTGAAGAAAAGCAAAGTAACTGTGCTTCTCCATTCCGTGAGGATTTTAATGGCTCTCTATTCAGTGTGCCTCAGCAAACAAGCACTGCATATCTGCTGGCAGGTACTGTGGGCACAGGAGAACAGATTCAGCCTTTGTTCTGAAGGCTCTTGAGGTAGGGGAAACAGATTAAAACATTCATCAACATTCAAGGTGGAATCTATTATGGGCCATGACGAGTATAAATGAAACATTAAGGAAGCTATTAATGTCTAGTGGGCTTGAAAAATTAGTAGGATTTTGCCACACAGAGGAAAAGTTGGCCAGCTTTCCAGATAAAGGCATGGAATAATGAAAGCGTGACCTCCAGCTTGGTCAAGACAAATGGTAAGCATTTCAGAAGAGGAGGCACCAAGCTTTCCACCCAGATACCTCCCTTAAGTAGCCAGAGAGGACCACCTTTCTCTTCAGGGCTCCAAAGCTATCGCTGTTCTTTTGTAGTTAGGGTTTTCTCTTCACGTACTTTCTGTTCCTCCCTTCTTTCCTCATTTTCCTCTTCCTAATGCTTCCCGCCCTCCACTCCTTGGAAGCTGCTGGCAGCCAGATTTTTGCTGCTCCCTGGTTGCCTGAGTGGAAGCTATGAGTTGCACAGCTTTCTCGGGCCCTGGCATCGAGGGAATGGGGCACTCTTCATGGGTGTTGCTTCAAAGCTTGTGCAGACCTTGGGACGTGGGCCTGAGACCTACAGGTGATTAACCTAGAGGTGACAGGTGACCGAGATTACCCGGGGAAAGATGTCAGCACAAGAATGAGGGAGGAGAGGGGTTGAAGGCAAGGCTCAGGAAGGAGGGGGACACTGTTAGCAGCAGCCTGGTAGAGGAAGAGGTGTGGCGTTGGTCCAGAGGCTAGTGACGGGCATAAGAGCGATTCCAGTAGAGTGGTGGGGCACAAGTCGGATTCCGCCCAGCGCCTGGATGAGTCAAAGGCAAGGAAGCAAAGGAGCAATGCTCTCCACAAGCAGGCCCGCCTTGGGCTCCCGGTGCAGGCTCACTGGGCGTTGGGAGCCCTCAGTGTTGCTCACCCGCACTTTGGCCTGTCTCTGTGCTTCGGCTTCCACAGCGAGCGAGTGCTGAAGCCCGGCAGGCAACCTTACGTCTTTACTGGAAAAGAAAGAGGGCAAGGATGTAGGTGCAGCAGTGACCTTAGCAGCCAGGGCTTTCTCACACTCTGGCCGCCCTCTCTACGGCTGTCCCTTGGGTAGTCCTTTTATTTTATTTTATTTGTTCGGTACTGGGGATTGAACTGGGGTCCTTGCACTTGAGAGGCAGGAAAAGGTACTGCTGAACTAAGTCCCCAGCCCCCCACTTCTGATTTAATGGAATGTGCTGTCCCTGGAGTCCTGAGGTGGAAGGTAGGGAGGGAGCGCATGTCAGAGTCTCACATGCAGACGCGGATCACCTCTGATGTTGCGGGGGCCGTGGGCTCTCTTCACACGCACAGTGCATTTTGCATTCATCTGTGATCATTGATCATTTTTCCAATTTAAGGTTTAACCTAACGTCTAGCTATTATATTTGACAATGATACAGAAGATCCTAATAAGATTACTGACATTGAGAAATGGGAAGAAAGGAGCTAAAGGTGTAGGGAAGGTGGGATGGGTAGGGGAAGGGTAAAAAGGGAAAAGAAAAAAAGGTGAGATAACGAAAAGATGGAAATAAAGTGGTTGTAGATGAGGAGGGGAGGAGGGGGTGAAGGGAGGACAGGGACAAGGGTAAAAAATGAGAACCAAGACCTGTCATGTAGAGGTACAAGATCCCAACAATGAATGTAACTGTACTGTATCCCTAAAATGTACCAATAAACTCAATTAAAGTTGAAAAAAAAAATTTGACAATGAAAACCAGCCTCGGAGAACCATACAGTTAATAACAGAGAAATTTAAGTTTATAAAAGACAAAGATTGATTTTGAAGAGTAAAACTGATCAAATACAAAACCTTAGTGGATTGCATAAAAAATACAAAAGTGACTTATTACCCTGAGGATGGCTATGAAAAATGCATATATGGAAGAATTTAATAGTTCTTTAAGAGGTTAGGGTTATCTTATAATCCAGCTATTTCACTCTTTACACATGCCTATGTATGTGAACATGTTGAAATAAAAGAATGTTATTGTAATATCCATAACAGCCAAAAAAGTAGCTAAGTGATGAACAGATAAGCACGATTTTATACAGGCATACAATGAAATGTTATTTAACTATAAAAAGGGACAAAGTACTGATACATACTACCCTTTCCATGAACCTCGAAAACATGCTAGGTGAAAAGAGACCCGACACGAAAGGCCCCTATGGAAGGATTCCACTCATGTGAAATGTCCAAATAGGCAGATGCATTGAAACAGAAACTAAAGTCGTTATCGGGAGGGAGAGGGACAAGGGAGTTCCTTTTAGGATGATGAAAACATTCTGAAATTAGATGGTAGTGCTGGTTGTACTTTGAGAATATACTAAAACCACTGAGCTGTGTGCTTTAAAGCTGTGTATGTAGTAAGTTTTACATGATTTCTGTTTTAGACAGGATCTTTTGGGATGTAATTGAGGCTGGTCTTGAACTCATGATAACCCTCCTGCCTCAGCCTCCCAAGTGCTGGGATCACAGGTGTGCACCACCATGCCCAGCAAGCTTATGTGATTTATCTTTTAAAACAAGGTTTGGTGTTTTTAAATGCATGGTGAAAAAAACATGAGAGTAATTTGCCCGTATGTGACAATGTATAGTATATTTTGCTTGTGAAATATTAGATGGTTTTTCTTTTTTCTAAATTTATAGTAATGTAGTTATAGCATTCAAAATAATTTTTCAAAAATTAAATATTTTAAATGAAACAAATATTTCCCTTTATTATATTATTCTTCCTGGTTATATTCCTACCCACATTTCTATTCTCTCCACTTTGATTCCCCAAATACAGGTCACTGAATCCAAGGCAACCTGTGGAAAGAAGAGTTCAGATATCAGTAGGCGCCTCCAGATGGCAGTACAGCGTGGCTGTGCAATTGTGTAAAAAGAATATTTCCTTTCAGGGGACAGTACTTGATTGCTTTGCTTTGTTCAACTTCACGGTATCTGCCACAGAGTTAACTTGTACAGTGCCACTCCATAACTATTTGTGGACTTAGTGATGCGACAGGCTGAAAATGACCCCATAATGTCCATGTTCTAATTGCTAGAACCTGAGAATGCTACCTGAAGAGGCACTCAAGTTATGATTAAGTCAAAGAATCTTGAGATTGTTCTGGATTATCTGGGTGGGCCCTAAATACAATCACAAGTGGTACTGTAAGAAGAGGCAGAGGGAGAGACAGAGCTTGCAGAGGTGCACTTTGAAGATGGAAGAAGGGGAGGAAGGGCTGAGGAATGCAGGCAGCTACTAGATGCTGCGAAAAAGGAAACATTTGTCTCTCACAACCCTCAGAAGCAACCAAGCCTGCTGGCTCTTTAATGTAAGCCCCCTGAGACAGATCTCGACTCTGCTCTTTGATACCATAAGAAAATAAGCTCATATTGTTTTAAGACACCAAGTTTGTGGTAATTTATTATAGAAGCAATAGAAAACTAATAATACAGATGGCATATTTGTTAATATGCTTTGAAATGCATTAGAAAATAACTTGAAATATATTAGAGAATAACATCTGTAGCCTTCCTGACAAATGGCCGTCATTCACAGGGTGCTTTCTGTTCCATTCTGCTGGTGGCATCAGTCCCTCCTGCTTCCCAGGCCCTTCTGTCCTCTGAGGCTAAAATCAGAAACGGGGAATGACGGGTGAACTGTGGGTTCTGGAGAGGAGGGGCCAGGCTTGGTGCGTTCCATGCTGCTTTTCCTCTTTCCTCTGTACTTTCTGATGATTTCTCTGTGTACAGAGAGTCTGAAAGACCGACTAATTTGGGGGCCAGCTGAAAGTGAGGAGTGTTGATAAATACACCACAGAGGAGGCAGCATCTTAAAGAACACATATTGTTTCCCTGTGGGATAAAAGGAAGGATTTCATGTGGAAGAAACAGCTCAAGAGGAGACCTGTAAGAACGAAAGTGCTGAATGCTGGGCTTACACTAAGGAGGATGGAGTATTAGATGCAGTGGAGGAAAGATGGCAGCAACAGTTGGGTCATTTCTTCATTCGTCCAGACAACTGTCTGCTGAGTGACAAGTCCATGCCAGGGGCTAAGGACAAAGAGATGAAAAACATATGCCACCAGCCATTCGGAGTTATCATTATCTGCAGAGACACGTATGTAAATTCATAAATTGTAACTTAGGGTAACAAAGATGAGCTTGAATGACAAGAGCCTGACCTTTATCCTTCAGAGGAGGACAAACAAGGAAGATGTTGCAGAGGACAATTGAGGAGTATGTTGAGTGTCTTTTAAAGGACAGAACACTGACTTCCATGTGTCCCTCTTGTTTTTCTCTTTCTAGCTTCTCGTCAAATGTTTCCCTTTTCCAAAATGCTAATTCTCGTTTTATAATACTTTCACTGCATCTCTTCAGATTAGAAACTGCTCAGGTTCCACGAAGAATAATCATGAATGCCTTTGATGCTTAGGGTCCATGTGTTTGAAGTCCTCCTTCCACCTCCTTCAAACTTAAAACTTCATTAACTCATGCTGGGCTTGTGTGCCGCGTGGCGTTCATGGTAGGCTCAGTCACTGGTGTTGCCACTTGACTGGCCAGTGCCTGGAGTCTTGCTCTGCTCGCATCCTGTCTCCTTCGTACCTCCTGGCCATGGATGAGAGGGTTGATCTTGCAGCCTGTGGCCTACATGAGGCTGCTTGGGAGGCATGTTTTATTCTTCTCTCCTCCTCTAATTCTAAATCAATTAAATCTGGACAATTGATTGGGCAGTTAATCACAGAAGGGTTGTGACAGTGTAACTTACTTCAGAAAGCCTTGTTTGAATTTACCGTTACTTGACTTGTGCATACTATGCTTGTTACCCCAGCTGGACTGCAAGCTCCGGAACTGTGCTCATCATCCTCACATACCACAACCCCTCCCATCCATGCCTACCACCCCACCATGTCACTGGCAGCTACTCCCAATGCTGCTTTTTATAATGAATTTAAATCACAGGGGCAGACCACGGATCACTGGCGCAGGGCTGAGAGCAAACTCTGTGCGCCAGACTTGTGGTCCTAAGTGACTCAGGGTCAATTTGGCAACTTCTTGAGTATCTATAAACTCCCTAACAGATGGCATCTTAAATAGCACATGGAATATTTAATAACTCTCAGTGAATAAGTGAGTAAAAGATAGAGATACTTCAAAAGATTCAACTAAAAAGGAAAGTAAAAGAGAAAAGGCAATGATGTAACATCAAAATAATCCTTAATTCTGGAGATGAAAATGGTCCCTGAACATATTTAAATTGCTTCTCGCTCTTATAGTCTTATTCTTTTTTCATTATTTAGAGAATACTTTATTAGTTTCTGTAATCAAACCCTCGTAGATTTGACCTTACATATTTAGTATGATGTGTTACCCCTGTACACATGGGAAAAAAAATAAAATAAAATAAATTAACATTTCTAGACCAATATGGTTGTCCATTTCTGTACAATGACAAGTTAACACAGTAAATTGGGATGACTTTTTCCAAAGTTGGCAGCACCGTTAAAGTTTCCCAAAATTCAATTTATATATGTGTGTGTGTGTGTGTGTGTGTGTGTGTGATATATAT